GATTCAAACGAAAATCGAACTAATCGGATTTATAGAGACACAAAACTTTATTTCATGTAATAAAGTCCATTTTCTGGTTTGCCATTAAAATTTACATCAAGGGAAATGAGTTTCATGAAAAAATCTGGTTCCATAATTGTACAAAAAGCTTTTGAAGTTTCGAATTCGAACGCCATTTTCTCGAAAACTATTTATCAGAGAAATCTTTAAATCACACAAATAGACTCAGTTTTTATTTCCCTACAAACGAACAAAGTCTAAATTCGAGAGAAATGGATTTTCAACCTTTTTTTGTCAATTTTTGCAAATGTTAAAATTGTGTTAATTGTATATTTTTAGTAGCAAGCCAATGCCATTTCATATAGCAAGCTACATGAAAATGCGTGTTCATATAAACTCCACAAGTCGCTTAACACGAATGTCAAAGTTTTTCCATCCATTAGTTCGTAACTTTGATTTTCAGAGTTAACTGAGGGACATTTTGCGAGTTTATTTCTCATCATCACAAATATTACATTAAAAACTTTCCAGAGTATACGATATCTGATAACATAACGAATGGACAAATTGTTTCATAAAACAAAAGAAGAAAAATTCTCTTGAAATTTGGAACAAAATAGAGCTTAGACCGATTGCTCATTCCCTTTGAATTGAAATGATTACATGACTAATTTTCCTATTAATAGTTAAGAATAGAAGAGTCGAGCTAAAATCACTTGATTTTGTTTCTTGGAACTTAAAGGGAACAATACAACAATATGCTGATTTGGATTGTATGACTCGATAAGCTATGAAATTGAATATAAAAATGACAGAGATTCGCTCATTCAATCAATTTTTCATCAAACAGTACCAAACACCAAACCAGAATAATGTTTTCATTCTTAGCCATTTTCCCAATCCTTTTCGCCCTTTCAGCTTCAACTCCTTTGGCTGATTTGCTGAATTCCAAGTCAAATGCTGGTTACAATATCCATGCTGTCTTGGTTGCTGGGTCAAATGGATTCGACAATTATCGTCATCAAGCCGATGTTTGCCATGCCTATCATGTCTTGAGGAATCATGGAGTTCCTGCTGAAAACATTATTGTCATGATGTACGATGATATCGCCAATGATCCTGAGAATCCTTACCCTGGTAAAATATTCAATGCTCCTAATGGCTCTGATGTCTATGCTGGTGTAGTGAAAGATTACACTGGCGAGGAAGTAACTCCTGAAAACTTCCTTGGTGTACTCAAAGGTGACAAGGCTCTTGCTGCAAAGGGTAAGAAAGTACTCACTTCTGGACCCAATGACCATGTTTTCATTTATTTTGCTGATCACGGAGCTGCTGGACTCGTTTATTTTCCATCTGATACACTTTCTTCACATGATTTGAACGAAGCTTTAGTCTACATGCATGACAATAAAATGTATCACAAACTTGTATTTTACTTGGAAGCTTGTGAGTCTGGTTCAATGTTTGAAAACATTTTACCCGATAATCTAAACATTTACGCTACTACTGCTGCCAACTCTACAGAACCAAGCTCTCCGACCTATTGTGAAGACCCTGAAATTTATCCCTGTCTTGGTGATGAATATTCAGTTGCTTGGCTTGAAGACTCTGACTCTAATGACATAACCAAAGAAACCCTGGAACAACAATTTCAATATGTAGTGAAACGCACTCCAAATTCACAACCTCAACAATTCGGTCAAAAGTCTTTGGCCAGTCTAGAAGTTGGTCAATTCCTGGGTGAAAAGGCTTCGAGTAAGATTGACGCTCTAGAAAATTCAGAAGATTCCGTAAACGCTAGAGACATACCTTTAGTCATGCTTAGACGTAAATTAAAGCGCACAAATGATGCTGCTAAAGCCGCTGTTCATGCAAAAAAATTACAAACTTTGATTTCTGGTCGACGATTCCTTGAATCAGGCATCAAAAAGATCATCTCTCAACTTTGTTCCAATGGTTATTGCTCAGATGCTGAATATGTTCTATCAACTCGACGACCATTAGTCCATCATTCAACATACTCAAAAGTAGCCAAAAAGTTCCAATCAAGTTGCCTTAACTTGGGTACTCACCCTCATGGAATGAAGTTCATGTATGCTTTTGCCAATCTTGTTGAATCCAACAACTTCAATGAGTCAACATTGAACCGCTTCTTGGAAGATTTGGAACGAGCTTGTAATAATCACATTGTTGATCATGGATTCAAAGCTATTGTCTAACAAATGGATAAAAGCTATGATAAAATTAATCTACGAAGATGCGTTGGAACCAATATTCAGCAGAATTTGTTTTTGACATCATTTTTGGACGAGAAAAAATCAAATATCAAAAATTTTTAAATCTTATCGTTCAATTTCTATATATAAGTAATATATATTAATAAATTATTTCAATTACTCAACAGCGATCACAAGTTATTATCACTACGAGCATCTAAAATCCTTCATGATAAACGGTTTTTATCAAGATTTTTTATTAACAAGAAATATCAATTTCAATACGTTTACTAATACAAGAGTAACTCAATTGAATTACATCATCTTCATGTTTCAACCATTTTAATGGTAAATTATTGCAAAGAGGTTGTCATTAATTAAATACAAATTATTTTGGGTTTCAATTTCCAGTGTAACTTGAAAAGATTCGGGATAAAACACTATTTGAACGAACACCAAGAGGTTCAGTTCCTGCGGGTGGCAAAATTTCTCCACATTTGGCACTTGTAGATGGATAGGATTGACATAGGAACTCAGGTAATCGAGATGAAGATAGTCGAACTATTTTACGACTCAAATCAAGGGCAGCCTCACCACATCTATTTGTAATTGAAACAGTGACACAATCTTGGAATCGGTTGTAACCACAACACGCCATAGCTACTCGATTATCCCAAGTAGTTTGTGATACTTCCTCAAGGGATCGCTGTAAATCCTTGGTGCATTGTTTTGATTGAGATCGAGCTTCACTCAAACATTTAGCATGTTTTTTATATTCAGCTCGTATCTCTGTTCCTGGAGTACAAAATTCATCTGCAAGACTTTTACCTCCTTCAGCAATGAAATCGACTAATTCCCGTTGCAATGGTGAGATACATCGTCTGGTATAGTTATGGCGACATGATGAAGCCTCTCTAATGTAACCACATTGTCGTTCAATTTCAGCTTCAGTTCCTTGTATTCCTGCCAGCAAAAAGGACATAAAGTAAGTAACGTAATTTAAATTGTTTCACTTTTTTTAACTGTTTAGTAATTCAAATTTTCTTTGTTTCATCAGTTTCCAGTGAATCGATTTACAAACAATTACTTTCAACGGAAATCTCTAATCAGTTATTGATAATACAATTTCCCGTTCAAAGATTTGATCGTGTTGATATATTGTTCAATATTGAATAACAAACCAGTTTGGGTTATTAATACACGTTCATTTTTTGCAATAAACTTGAACCAAGTAGTCTGCCTAACACTAACCTTGAGTCGATTAAATCTCAATGGTTCGCAGTTATGGACCAATGATCAAATAAGCCTCAAAGAAGCTGTCGGCCTCATCTGTTGGTACATGTAACAAAGTAACTACTAAAGATGGAAACAACAACCATTGCGACTTCAAAGTCATCACCAGTTTATCCAAGTCTTACAATTTAAAGTTAACTTCAGATGACACTAACTAAACTTTTCTGGTGGATTTTTTACATGCGAATTCAGTCATTATAATGTCCAGAAATTAACTTACCTTGAGAATTCTGGGTGAAAACCAATAAAGTTGCTGTACAAAGATCGAGCTCTCTCATGTGACATGAAGCAGTTTGGCCATTGATTGTCTGGGAACCTGAAATGGTTAATAAATGGCATTAGCTTATCAATTGGCCTTTACACAATGATCCTGATGAATGGAAATCCATAAGTTGAAAGCAGCATTGACGGAAACAAAAAGACGGACAAGAAATTGGATTTAAACTCACCAAATGAAACGATTAAAATAGCAGCAATTAATAGGTATTGCATTGTTGTATTTAGTGTTGATCAAATAGATAAAATAATTGTAAAAAATGGTATTTTAGTTTGAACTATTTTAGACGTTTTTAACGTTCGATGAGATCAATTGATGTATATTGACTGACCCAAACCTTGAGACGATTTTAAAGTTATCTTCACAGTGATTCAAAGTGAAAGTGAAAGATGTAAAATTGAAATGTTTGCTTCTTCTTATTCGTTCATATTCATCAGCATGTTTCTACTCAATTTCAACCTTAGGCGATTCAATTTTGACGTCAATAAGGAACAGGTATTAGCAAGGCGGTTCTTAAACGCCAAGTTTTCCATTAACATTTCTTTGACATTTGAAATACTGTGTATTCCTGATGAGATGATATTTCATCTTTTAAGCAAACAAAAACATTGTTCGCCAAAAATCTCAGAATAAGAGCATTTTTAGCTTCTGAAAGCTCTTCTTTTTAAGCCTTTACACCGTATCTTACAAGCCATCTTCCATTCTTACAGCCTGTTAGTTGAATTTTCGCTAACAATCGTGGAAAGATGAACCGTCAGAATATTGTGGAGCCTAGTAACTGGATTCAATGGTTTGACCCAAGGCGTACCTATGAAGAGGTCGATGGTCAGTTGTAAATGGGTTTACTGTAAAGGGAATTTCTTTATTCAATGAAATTCAAAGGTAATTTAACACAGGCTCAAGGCTTGTTGATGGAAACTTTCATTAATTAATCATCTTGTCAATTCTTGTTGTTGTTATTATGTTTACATGATTTCTTGTTATTTCATATGAAGATGAAAAAAAGACAAGATGATCAATTTAGCCAAAGGTAATGAAACTCAATATCAGTGTTATTAACATCGCCATTGAATCTCATGGAAATTCCCAATCAAACCTTAGTTACCATTAACATAAATAAACTAAAAAATTGAAATTTTGATCAAAGAGAAGGCAATAGTTGAAATGATAACATCTAATGAATTTAATTGAATGTTAATTTCGTTTCTAAGACAAAGTAAAAGCAGAAAATTGTCAAAATTTACTTTTTTAGGCATTTTTAGACATTTGTGACAATCAAGTTTATTCATTGGCATTGGTAAATTAAGGGAAAAATTATTGGAAATTTTGCTTCATTATTTATTTTTTGTCAATTCATTTGAAATTTCCGCCAATAATCAGATCATGATTCAACTGATGGACTTAAAACAATCAAATTCATCTCTTTTAAGAAACATTGACGGTTCAATTGAATGAACCAGATGTCAGATTGAAATGTTACTTTATTTAGTCTGAAGATCTGGTGAAATGGGAAATTTTATGATTAGAAGTTTCTTGCATTGCATTAACGATTCCGAAGAAAATATTTAATCACTGATGAATTTGAAACAACTAAACTGTCCAAGAATTGATTAGCTTGAATTTCTGCAACTTTAAATATTACGAATCTTGTACCTAATGGAGAAACTATAATTGTTTGATCAGGATCCGATCAATTTTCTCCTGTTCTTTTATTACATGGAATGATCTGGTCTATTGAATGCTAATTAACTTTCTCTTTGTTTAGTTGATCTCAGTTTGTTAAAATAATTTTCCAATATCAGTTACACTCTTTTCCCTTTCTCAGAAGATTTCTGGTTAACCAGAACAATAAGCTTATTGTTATATCTTTAGCATTGATGAATAAGAGGTAACAAAATGTTTAAATTAATAATATTTAACAGTCAGCCATCCAATCAAATGTATCCAATCACATTTAATCAGATTATCTCTTGAGATGTTTGAAAAGGGAGAGAGTTAAACAAAAAAACCGTTGGTAAGATGATTACCTTGTCTGTAAGATGGAAAAGGGTGATTCAAAGTTTATTATTTTTATCTAATTGTCAGTTAAACTAAACGTTCATCTTTAACTTGATTTTGTTAACTATTGATTATATCCATTATTTTTAAACCAGTGTAAGTGACCATCATCAATAATTGAACCAGTGAACAGTTATTTAAAAATGTGCGGTTAATTAACCATCATTAACCAAGTAGATAACATAATATGTAAACATTGAAAACGATTCTTTAAGCTATGTTCACCAATAACCGATATCTTTTTTATTAAAGCCATTTTATTTTGCTCAACTGATTGCTAAATCACCTTACTTTCCATTGACAACATAACCATCTACTGTTTTCAGACGACTTTATGTATCAACAGAGTAACCATCTGCTCTTGTGATAGATAACCTTTTAATTTACAATCAGTTTTATAGCCAGTCTATCAATTTGTTAAGATAAACTGTACATTTTGTGTAAAAAATCAACAATTTCATTCGAATCATCTGTTATCTAAAATTAATTTTCTCTTATAAGATCTTGTGCTACATTTTGTTCTCTTCTCTCAATCTGTTACTGTGAGATATGACACATGGAGCCAGTAAGATTAATTGACAATTTAAGTGAAGAAGTTAAAGAGTTGAAACATCTCAATGTAAGATTGAAAAGCTTCAATGATACTCTGACCGATGAGATAAAATCAATCGAAAGTCGATTACTTATTGCTGAAGAAGAGAAGAAACAATTAGAAAGTCAATGTCGACAACTACAAGCAAAGATTGATCTCATCAAAGAAGGTAAATATTTTTATTTAAATTTATACTATTACATGTAACCATTTTGATGTACAATTTAATTTAATTCTAATGATCATAATTATCTATTTATTTTGGGCAGAGAAAGAATCTGAGATTAACGAACTGAAGGAAAATTGTGCTAACCACATCGAAGTTCAGAGACGTCTAGATAAATCTTTAGACTCACACAAAAAACAATTAGCAGACGTTAAGGATGAGCTTTCTCAAGCCCGAGAGGAGACATTAAAAATACGTAAAGAACTGGAATTGGCTAAAAAACGCGAAAATGAGTTGCGACAAGAAATTGGTGATGTTCAACAAACTTTAGAGACCGAGATCGTTAAAAATGAGGAACTCAGAGAAGAGCTGGAGGATTTTAGATCTACAAACAAAGCAATGAAAGACGAAATAGATTATTTGAGAAAAGAAAAAGAAGCAATAACTCAAAAGATGGTCCGTAAAGAAAATGATTTTGAGGATATGAAAACCATCTTGAGCTATGGTACCGATTTCACATTCTCAAAACCTCTTCCAGGAGTTGATGTATGCTCCGAAATATTTGATAAAGACAATTTGACTGAAACAAGATTGAGTTTGGCTAATCTTATTCATCCTATCGATACCTCATTGGAACATTTATCTCCTATTGTTGCACCAAATAATATGTTACAACGATACCGCCGACAATCAGGATCCCCAATAACATCAACTGGAAGGAAACCTCCTATTCGAGTCAGATTTGATCTCACAGCACAGTCAATTGACCAAGCTCCACCATCTCCACCTCCATCAATTTGTTCTTCCACAACATCGAACGTGGAAAATGAAAAACCTCAATTTGGACCATTCTGCTTCCTTTTGTTAACTTTCATACTATTTTGCTATACATTCATTGTTTATCCTCTAAAGTACACATATCATTATCTAATAGCAACCATACTTCTACCTGGAATCAAGGTTGAAAGAATCACATCATGTCAATGATACCAATTTAAGCCAAAGTAATAAAGTGAGCAATCTTGTAAACAATTAAATTTAAGAGAAGAAAAGAGAGAGATGAAGAGAGAAAAGAAGGAGATAAAAAGATTTTGTTGACTTTCAATGATCATCAACCTCCTTGTGAACCTCTTGTCACTTGATTCTTGTGTTTTGCTTCATAATAATATTAATTTCTCCGTCCTCGTAAATAAATTCACATTGAATTATGTTCAATTGCCGTTTAGAAGCTATCGGATGATAATGATGATTTGTAGTTGAGCTTTAAACTTCCTTTGGATACTCCACTACTTCTAATAACTTTTTTTGGTGGTGTTGGTGGCTCATTCGTGTAATCTGGATTGTTCAACACAGTTATTTTGAAATTGTTTCGGATCCAATCGTTATACGAAGTAAGTTCAGCACCAATGAATGAATAAATTGAACAAATAGTGATACCACTCAAAAATAATGTATATGTTAATAAGAAAAGACTCAAGGAAAAATTTATTTTACCTAGAAGATTTGGAAGAAAAGAAAATGGATTGAATCGAGCGAGCAATCAAAACAACGATGAAAGGGATGACAAGTTAATCACTGCAGATAATCAAGAATAATCAATCAAACTTACTTACCTAAACTATTGAACCAAATGAATCCTCCAAAAAGAAAGAAGTAAAATAAGAAGAAATGGACTCCAATTGTTATTATCAAATCAACTCTTCCTTTGGCTTCCATCATGACCCAGTCAAAAAAATTTCTTGGATACTTAATCGTTTTATACTTAAATCGACAGATATCACAATATTCTGATTTTGTTTCCTCAAGCCAGTTATTCAAACATGATTGGTGAGCAAAGGCAAACACACCGCGACAAAAACAAGGAGTAATCAAATTTCCTGGTTTAAAACATATCCGACAAGTTGTTTCTGATACAGCCATGATTTCCGATAATATAAGATCACTGATTTTCCTCTAACAGTAATTGGTATGTTGATCGGATACGAAGATACATAATGTTGTTAATTGACGTGATCCAAAGCATCGGATCCGTTACATATGTTACTAATGTTGATGACACATAATTAAATTGTTTAAATTTCTAATTTATTATAGTATCCATGCTTCTCAACAATCATTTCTGGGAATTCAAACCAACCATTCCATAAATAGTGGCTTCTCTGCTTCATCAACATTCAGCTGATTCGAAATACGTGAAATAGCCGCTATACTCTGATTAAAATATGATTTTATTATAATTTCTTACAGCAAATTTTGAAAATAATTGGAATTTTAAAGCTCATAGGTTTCTGGGTTACGAGACTTTATCATTTCAAAAAAGTAACAGTGTAGTTTGGCTCAATGAAGACAAACATTTAGGTTCAATATGTCTGAATAATTCATGAGTAAAAGAATAATTCTATCCAATCAGAAAGCAATTTAACCATAGGAATATCAACAATCTCATACCTTTCTGTGATAATAGTCTTACTCCAAACTTTAACAATAATCGGAAGATCCTCAGGAGGAAAATCTGCACGAAAGAATTGAAATTTATCACCTTCAACTCTTATACCAGTTCCTTCTGGAAGAGCAATGATTGACCTTTTTTTCATTATAAAAGCTTGGTTTAATCTTTTAACCCTTGATTCTCCTCCATGATTTGGAATATTTTTCTCAGTAAAATGTGGATTTATATTGTAGGGGAAGAGATCTAAGGCTTTATCATTAGAAGGCCAAATAATGGGCATATCATTTGTGGTTCCAATATCAGGACAGGCAACATTAGAACCAGCTGACCATCCAATGTAAGGTATACCATCTTGAGTGACTCTTTTCCGTATTGGCTCGATTAAATCATGTTTTTGAAGATAATAGAGCAAACTGAAAGTGTTACCACCTCCAATACAAATTACTTGAGCCTCGTTGATTGCTTTAACCATGTCTTCGATTCGGACTTCGTGGATTGATTGAATCTTGGATCGTCCCAAACCAATCTCAACCATAGTTTTGTATTCATCCCAATCACGATCAACAGCAGCAAACGGGATGAATAAAATTTTAGATTCTGATGAACCGATGAAATCGTCGATCATTGGCTTACACCACCCAAAATAGGACTTACTAGGTCGAGTAACATTTGATAATAACAATAGACGTCCTGTTGGCATGTTTGTAGCTATTTTCAGTCAACGACAACAATTAACAATGCAAAGACTAGTGGAAAATTTGTTTAACTAGTATTACAAATGAGTTTCTGGTTTTGTTTATTTACGAAGGTAGCTGAACTGAGATTAAAAACGAGCCATTCAGGCATGTAGCTGCAGTTATCTAAAATTGGACAGCTTGAGCTGATTCTTACTAGGCAAATCTAAACAAATAAAGCAGTTTCACGTATGGTGCATCCATAATATAAAGAAAGATGGCGCTAATTTTTTTATGCAACTTGTACTGTAATATCTCAAATTGGTTTATAAATCCTTTATAAATGCGTTTCAATCAAAGGTGTTAATGACTGATTCAACACTCATATTCTTACTCTGCATTCTAATCGACTGATTATTCGAAACGGCTGAGCTGATATTCAACATTGAATCAGTCATTAACACCTCGTATACTGAACCAACCTCTTTGTTATGATCTTTGGAAAACAATTTAGTTTATCTTTATTGTCAAGAATATTATTTGATGTCTAATTAGTGATAATTCGAAGAATCAGAATTCCTTCATAACTCATTCCGATTGAATAATCGTTCCTTCCACACCAATTTAAGATTTCCTTCAAATTCTGTTTACAGATATTTTGTGGCCAATCATTGACCCACCATGTAAGTAAATTATAAAATATGTGCTTTATCAAATTAGCAATTAGTGAAATAAGTGTTTATGCTTTACATATTCAGAACTTGTAAATTAAAATCTTGATTATCCAATTATCTTCCAGTAATTTAGATATAAAGGAAAACTTGTTTACATTGAGCTTCATTGAAAATATACATCTAATTTCTATTATCTTATTCTACTATTTGTAGATTGTTTTGTAGAGGCAATAAAAATTCAATTCAACTTCACGTATCTAGAATAACATCGAATCAGATATGTATCTTAAATTAACATTCATTCCATTCTAAGACCTACTCTAACAGTGATAATTGGTGTTCAGACCATTTAGTTGATTTAAGTGACGAAAAATTTGATTACTTTGTATCTTAAGATTCATTTGGATTATGTTTCAGCCTCACCATATCAGTCGGCTTATGTCTTTGAAGCCGCTTTGAAGTAGATACAATTTTTAGCAGATTTAACTTTGATCCTTTAAAATTTGTTTGTTGAGTTCGATAAAACAATCGATTATTAACGTAGCCATGAAAATTCTTTCTCACGAGTTTTAGTTACTGATAACTAAATGTGAGAAAATAGAAAAATAATCTTGTTCCCAGGAATAATTGTTGATCTTTAAAGTGATTGTAAACTTCCTATCCGAGATAAAATTATTGACTTATTGATCTTTTCGAAATTTAGTTTATTATGAATGAACATTTATGACAAAAAACTATGGGAATGAGGGACGATGACTGTACATAAGTTGATAAGAAAACTACAAATGCAATGATTGATAAACAATATGAATATAAAAAAGTATTTACAAATTTGCACCATTGCAAAAATAATTACAAGTCAAAACAAAAAAAGAGTTGTTAAGTAAAGATTCGAAGCGCTGAAGGAATTTATTTTTGCGCTCGAATTAAACACCTGAATCACTTGATTGACATTTGGTTGCGTAACTACAAACAGAAACGTTTGTAACAGGACTTGGCGGTGGGACACAAAGATAGGTTTGCACGGATTCATTGCCGGAGCAAACAGAATTTGTCTCATATCGACTTGAATCTCTACCATAATAAGATGACACAACATCAGGCGGTGGTTCAGCTATAGGCACGACCGAGGACTGTGGAGGACTGTAGGACATTCTTGCCGCACTTGCAACATTAATTTGTAAATTTTGATTCATCAAAGGAACATCAGAAGAAGGCTCTTTGTTAGGCACTACGACTGTCATTCTGCATGCTAGCGCACAAATCGCAATAACAATGCAGACAGCAAGGGCAACTCCGTACAATGGGAGTCCACTAGTTGACTTTAATATATTATTAACAGTAGAGGTTGATGACGAAGGTAATGATGATGTTGATGATGATGATGAGGAGAATGAAGCTTTATGATGTTTTATGCAGCGTCTAGTAACTTCTTCGTTTAATTCACTGCAAAGTGAATGTTTATCACAGATTTCGTCTATATCAAGGCATAAACTTGGGTTTGATGGGCATAAAATTTTGTCTTCAGGACAAATAGAACAGTTCATTTCGTCAGAACCATCAGTACAATCCTTATCGCCATCACACCGATGACTTGGATCAATACAACTAATTTCACCAGATACGCATGCAAATCGATCAGCAGGACATGGTTTCCTTGAAAATGTGAACATTGATAGTGGTTTTCTTGATGTAGAGAAAGAGGGAAGAGGTGTAGTTGTTTTCATCCGTTTACAAGATTTTTCATCAAAGTCAAGTTCCCAACCGTTTGCACAGGCACAAGTAAAAGGTTTCTGATACCTATCAAGACATAAATGCTTGCAGCCACCATTATTTTTGTAACATCCAAGATCAAGTTCAAAACCTAGAAATGGGCGAATAGAAATAGAAATAAGTATTAATATGCAATCAGTATAAATAAAATTTTCATAAATTGAAATATTTTTATCAACAAACCTAAATCTTGATTAAGGGAGATGGCTTTTAGACCCATCATGTCTGAAATCGATTCGACAAAAACTTCTTTTTTGCCCCCAATACGTTTATCTGTTCGATGAATTGCTCGATCATGCCAATCAGTCCAATAGACGTAATCATCTAAAACTGTGAGTCCAAAAGGATGAGAAATTTTATCGAGTAAAAGTTTACGCGATCCGCCATTAAAGTCACACGTTTCAATTCTATCCATTTTAGCATCAGCCCAAAATAATTTTTCTTCGTCCAAATCCATGGCGAGACCATTTGGCCAAATTATATCAGAATAAATAATTTTTTCTCTTTTACTACCATCTAAAGAAGCTCTTTCAATTTTTGGATCAGATCCCCAATCAGTCCAAAACATTAAACCTTTCCATGGGTTAACAATAATTGCTCTTGGTTTATCTAAGTCTTTTGATATTAGTGTTTTTCGATAAGATCCATCAATTCTTGATACACGAATTGCAGCGGCCTCAGTCCAGTATAAATTCCGAGAAATCCAATCTACAGCAATACCATCTGGATGATTCAAATCACTATTTATAACATTGTCAAATTGAGTGGCATTGAGATGAGCTCGTCTTATTGCTTTAGCATCGTCATCAGTCCAATAAATTCTATCGTCGATAGGATCATAATCAAGAGAAATCGCACGGGCAATCTCTTTGGGGTAAGGCAAAACAACATCAGTATGATCTTCAGTGTCTAATGATATTTTTCTAATATCAGTTCTCCTTAACAAAATAATAAACTTTTCTTCCCTTTTGGCACAGGTTTTATTGTCATATGTTAAAAGAACACCAGTTGGACAGGCACATGAATAATATGGTGGGTCAGAAGAAAGAAGGCACAAGTGAGAACATCCACCATTATTGACAGAACAGTTGGATATAAAATCAGGTTGCAGTAAAGGTGAGTAGACTTTGATACCCGAAGGATATCCATAGTTTGCTTGATGTTTATTACTTGGAATCAGCATTTTGCACTTTTCACTAACTTTGTTACATGAACTTATTCCCATATTTGTCCAATCAGTTAAATATAGCAAATCTTTTTCAAGTGTCAATCCAAATGCTTGAGCAATATTTGTTTGAAACATTTTTTTATTTCCTCCATTATAATCGACACTAGAGATGTATTTAAGTTTTCCATCAGTCCAATAGACTCGTCTTGCAGCAAAATCAACTGCTAAACCATTAGGCCAACGTAATTCTTCATTCTTCACTAATATACGTCTATGTTTACCATCCATAGAGGATCTTTCGATTTTGGCTTTATCTCCCCAATCAGTCCAAAAAAGTAAACCTTCTTGAGGTACCAATGCTAAAGCTCTCGGTGAATCAATGTCTTTCCAAAATAAAACTTTTCTATTTTTTCCATCGAACTGGACAACCTCGATTCTTTTAGTATCGGCATCTGACCAATATATTTTTTTGGTAATCCAATCACAAGCCAATCCATCAGGTGAAGATACACCAGTGTTGATTATGTCAAATGGTTTTGAAGATTTATTTCCTAAACGAACACCTATCATCAAATAGTAAAATATTAATAATCAAAAATATATCACAAAATTTTATCATCAAAAGTCAAAAACAATCAATCTACCTTGAATCTTTTCAGTGGCTAAATCACTCCAAAAGATTATTTGTTCTTTATAACAAAAATCCAGGGCAGTGGCATCACCGAGATTGTCAACCACAACAGAGGTGTCCAATCTTGTTGAATCTAGATGCACCATACTTAATTCCTTAGTATTTGCAAAAATAATGTTTGATGCAACAATGTTGTTGTTCCATAGTAAACAGTAAAATATGACAAGCTTTAAAAAAATGCTAAAAAACATTGTTATTATAAAAAAAGGACAATAAAATAAATTAAAAAGATGAAAAAAATAGAGTTCACAGTTTATTAACACTCTCACACTCTCACTCTCTCGTGAGTTTCTCTCTCTCACTAGGTTTAGTTCATCAATAGGTGGCTGTAGCATAGAACTACAAGAAATCTTTGCTTTTTGTCTATGTAAATCTGGGAGCGGGATCTTCAAAATTACTTTACTTTTAGTTTTTGCCTTATTAAATAATTGTTATTTCTGAAGAAGACAATTTACAATTAAGAGAATTAGAGACAATTAGAGAATAGAAAGTCAATATAGACATCTACAAGCAAAGATCCATCTCATCAAAGAAGGTAAATATTTCTATGTTAACATTACATGTAACCATTTTCCTATCTAATTAGATAGTTGATCACTTTGTTAACAGTAATTATAATAATCATGATTGTCTATTTCTTTTGTACACAGAAAGAAAATTGTGCTAACCATGTCAAAGCTGAGAATCGTCTAGTTAAATCTTTTAGACTCACACAAAAACAATTAGCAGACGTTAAGGATGAGCTTGCTCAGGCTCGAGAGGAGACCTTACGGATACGTAAAGAACTGGAATTGGCTAAAAGCGCGAAAATGGGTTGAAAAAGCTCCAAAAAGAAAGGAGTAAAATCAGAAGAAATGAATTTTAATTGTAAAATCAAATAAACTCTTCTTTGAGCTAGCCACCATTGTTATCATTGAAAATCGCGCTCATTTTTGTCATAACACAAGAAAGGGACAATTTTAGGTAAATTGAATATATTTTGGGTTTTTTATTTACAAGCTATTCATGGCTATTGGATGTTACTCAAAGATAGACTTGGAGCTACATACTGTACTATGCTGACAAGTCATTCAGCATTAAATAAACTGGTTAAACTGATAATTTAGTTTATTAACTAAGGTATCTCTACTTATTGAGATAGAAAGCAACTCGAGGCAGCTGTGATGCACTGAAACGACTTTAAGTTGTCGACTTAACTTTTGAAATTTTTTTCTCTAACTGACTCGTTTTTTTTTGTTGCAAGAAAAATTTGACAGAAGTGATTGCCTTTAATAACCAACCTAGAACTTTTGTTTTGTTTCATCCTTGTTCTACAACTTGTTTCCTAAATTTTGGTAACAAAAATTATTTTTTGTATTTCTACCTCTAAGCTGCCACAACAGGTACAACCTTTACTTTCAACTGGAACAATATAACACTAATCTCCTTCAACAATTATCTACTCAACACATCATTCCATTTTCCCTTCTTCATACTGTGACTGTCTCACTTCAACCAAAAGGCTTCAACCAATTTGGAAAGATTATAACCCTTCAAACCACTAATATGCTTGTAATTATTGAGTTGTCCTTTTCAAGACGTACCAGTTTGAATACAATAGAAAGAAAGTAATTGCTGAAATTTATTTACAAATGTAAAGGATTGGGTAAAAATATCGTCCAATCTCTGGTTAAAAATATTCGATATTTTTTGCTCAAGGATTAGCTATTTCTGTTTAACTGTCCAACGGAGATTTTGCAAATTTGTTTTTGTTTAATTTCCAACTTCTATAATTTTAAGAGACAAACTCTTATTGTCGTTTGCCTCTCATCCTTAGTTGTTTGTTTCTTCAATTTCAATTTACTAATTGTTCTATATGCCTAGAGATATTTTTAATGTTGTATTCTGACATTCGGTTCATGCAACGATAAAGTGTTGTTAAAAATGTTGGTTACGTCTTTCAAACAAGCACCAGATGTGAATAGCTTTTACCTTTGATAAACATAACCCTTTCTTCATCCTATTAAGTTATTTATTGTCTTTATTTTATAATAACAATGTTTTTTAGTATTTTTTTAAAGCTTGTCATATTTTACTGTTTACCATGGAACAACAACATTGATGCATCAAACATTATTTTTGCAAATACTAAGCAAATAAGTGAGGTGCATCTAGATTCAACAAGATTGGACACCTCTGTTGTGGTTGACAATCTCGGTGATGCTACTGCCCTGGATTTTAGTTTTAAAGAACAGCTAATCTTTTGGAGTGATTTAGCCACTAAAAAGATTCAAGGTAAGATTAATTTTTTTGTCTAATACATTTTTGATTATTAATATTTTACTATTCGATGATAGGTGTTCGTTTAGGAAATAAATCTTCAAAACCATTTGACATAATCAACACTGGTGTATCTTCACCTGATGGATTGGCTTGTGATTGGATTACCAAAAAAATATATTGGTCAGATGCCGATACTAAAAGAATCGAGGTTGTCCAGTTCGATGGAAAAAATAGAAAAGTTTTATTTTGGAAAGACATTGATTCACCGAGAGCTTTAGCATTGGTACCTCAAGAAGGTTTACTTTTTTGGACTGATTGGGGAGATAAAGCCAAAATTGAAAGATCCTCTATGGATGGAAAACATAGACGCATATTAGTTAATGAAGAATTACGTTGGCCTAATGGTTTAGCAGTTGATTTCGCTGCAAGACGAATCTATTGGACTGATGGAAAACTTAAATACATCTCTAGTGTCGATTATAATGGAGGAAATAAAAAAATGTTTCAAACAAATATTGCTCAAGCATTTGGATTGACACTTGAAAAAGATTTGCTATATTTAACTGATTGGACAAATATGGGAATAAGTTCATGTAACAAAGTTAGTGAAAAGTGCAAAATGCTGATTCCAAGTAATAAACATCAAGCAAACTATGGATATCCTTCGGGTATCAAAGTCTACTCACCTTTACTGCAACCTGAATATGTATCCAACTGTTCTGTCAATAATGGTGGATGTTCCCATTTGTGCCTTCTTTCTTCTGACCCACCATATTATTCATGTGCCTGTCCAACTGGTGTTCTCTTAAAATATAACAAAAAAACCTGTGCCAAATTATTATAATAAGAAGATTAAATTATCAACAATTACGACCAAAGTGGTTAAGTTAAGGTCGCATAGATGGCATTGTATTCGCTTGTAAAAATTTCTCAAACATATGACAAAATTAAGTTTTGTAAATCAATTCTCGTTCTAAATTATGTCATCGTTTCTTTAGTTTATTGATTTGTTTCTCTGTGTTGTATTGTATTTCTAGCTTTTTGACTCTATTATTTTCTTGACGAGTTGTTCCTGCTTTCTTCACCATGATTAGCATCGACGTTACAAGAGGAATACAGATGATTAAAACCGGACTGAAACAAGACATTGATAATTTATTAGAAGAATTTGATAAAACGAGAAGTTTGAGATTTATTGATTTTGCTTGTTTATGGAGAGACAAAAGCTTCAACTTCATTTTTACTTATAAGTTGAATCAAAATGACTTGAGGGAATTCATCGAGGAAGCTTTCAATATTGTCCTGGACCCGCTTTGTTCAGATACTACACCAGAGCGTTCCATTTCATCTCTATATTTCATTTATTGTCTTTATACAAGTCAACCTATTGAGCCAAAAGTACCAATTAATTTGACTCTAAACAAGTTCAAATTCTTCCGCTCACTGTTAGCTGCAACTAAAGAAAGCAAACAAATTGATGCCTGTTACATTTTTTTGAAATTGGTATCTCTGGGCGCATTTAATTTGGTGGCTCGAAATAAACCTTTCGGACCTTTGACTATCAGAAAGACTGTAGTCTCAAGTGCCCAAACTTCACGAGAGCTGCCAATCGGACAATTGTGTGATTTGGAATCTTACATTGGCAAATTGCAGTGGATTCACACTCTCTACAACAATAAGAAAAGAAGCTTAGAAGGTGATGATGTAGCAGAAGTTAAGAATCTTGAACTTATTAACGATGAATTATTCAGTGAATACGAAAAATTGTCCGAACGGACTATTCCTGAAGCTGGCAGCCCAGACGAAGTAGATGTCGACGGCGCTCAATTTAATAATTTATGATTGTCAACTTGGCATCTATCGTAATTTTTTTCAACAATAATCCAGTGTGCTGTTAAATCGAACATACGTGTAAATTTGAGTGAATACCTGATTTGAAGTTGAAAATAAAGATTCAGATGGAGCAACAGCAGCTAATCATGACTAGAAGTGAAATTATTTGGGACGGAATCATTATTAAATTGGCTTATCGTTTGATTGTCAATAAATGATGGTGTTACTGATGCCTGTAACCTTATTGCCTTTCTTGTTTCCATACCAGGATCGATACCAAATGCCGCTATAAATACATTTATCACGGTGATCCCGAAAACAAGCCAAACAATTGAATTATTGAGGACGTTGGCTCTACTATGATCTTTCACATTATTCAAATCATATCTACTTCTTGCGAGGATTAATGAACCAACTGTGATCTAGGCAATCGGAAAGAAAAATGATAATTTATGGTCACTTTATTTTATTCATTGCATTTAACTCTACAGAGCAACACTTGATCAAAACTCAAATCTCCAAACGATTCAATTACTTTCCAATTTGATTTCATTAATCTATTTGAATTTTCTCAAATGTGACTCTGTCATAATTAGTAACGAAATTGAAGAAAACTCATACCTGGAGAACCAAAGACATACTTATAAGAGTAACCATAAGAAAGTAGAACTCGTGTTGATGTCCTAATTGTAAAATGTATTTTAATTGTGATGCATTGGCAGTTAATAATGCTACATCGAGCATTCCTTGAGCTATAGTTTTCTTGGTTGCATAAATATTAATATCCAAAGCTCCAACCAATTCTGGTCGATTTGTTTCCTGAGAAAAACAAAAATAAATGAGTTCAGCAAGCAAAGTTTTTTTTAAATGGTCACTCATTACATTATCATGGTTTAACTTGTTCGGTAAGAAAAGTTCGAGCTTTTTTCACCAGAGTTAATTTTAAATCTCTTGAATTTAAATTGTTAACAGAAATCGAGCTTTTTGTTAAAAATATCGCTTCAATTTGAATTAGATCATGTCTTAAAATGTTTAACCTAATTCAACCTCAAATAAAGTGGAAAGGGAAAAATAAATCTTTTGTTGGACAAGATTTCAAACTCGGCAGAATCGTGTCTATATCATGTATACCCACGCAATTAATGCTCAACCAAGAAGGCAAACCACAAAGCTTAAATTTAGGAAACAAAATGTATGTATAAATAGCAAATGATTGAATTGACAATTTCAAAACTTACTTTAACATCCGTTCTTAATTGTTCCATTTCATTAGAAGCTATTGTTACCATTGGAAAGCCGGGATTGCCTTCTTTACACATATCAAATTAAATCAGGTGAGGCACTTCACAATCTATTAGAAATTTGACGATTACTAATGATTCAATTTTTATCACTTTCTGCAGGTCACATTCTGAGCTAAACTAATCTTATCTGTCTAACTCATCGAATGAGAGAATGGATTAATAAACTGTTGCATCACTGAGGATGAATTTCGCAGGAAATTTGTCATTTACTGTGAATTCATGCGAATGGATCAAACGGAAATAACAACATAAGTAGGAAGAGCATTAATCAACCGATGTTATGAAATAAAGCAGAACTAGATTTGAACTCACTTTCCAAGCTATTTTAAATCAACACTGATGGCAATAATTTGTAATTTGAATGATATGGAAAGATCAAAATCAATTTTAACCAATCAAATATTGTTAAAAACATGCAATTTTTTTTATAATCTTGTTCAGTTACTATATGATAACATTGTATAGATTTTTAGTTGTGAATATATTGCTCAGATTTAATACTTGAAAGAATGAGTCTTCAATCGATTGCAGAAAATTAAAAATTTGAACTTTGGTATTTGAGTTAATTAATCAATGAATGTTCTTACTGCAATCAAATACATTTTGATTAAATTTTAACCGTTTTCTCTCCGTCATCGATGAATTATGAATAGTTTGCTGTTGTTAGTCAAATAGATTCCAAGTAAAAAAGCGAATTTGAATAAAAATTTTTAACATAATAAAATATTCAAAGTTTCATATTAATCTTACATCTAAATTGTCAGATTTCATGATCTTTATGCTCTAGGATAGAGTTAACACAAATCTGTGTTGAACATGTATAAAAGACAATGAAGAGTGTTCATAAATTCACATTCTGATTGTCATAGTAGGAACGATAATTACGAAAAAATGCCTCTAATCAAGAAACGACGACGTGACGACAGTTTAGATCGAGGTAAAAAGTGTGTTGAATATTTGGACGATAAAGTGAAAAGCTTTCATTTTCTTAACCAAGGATTTGATTTGAAGCTTCGTCCAATTAAACGCTTAATTGCTTATGAATTCAGCATATTCCTATTCAATTTAATCTGGTTTATTCGACTGTTAACTCTGACTCTTATTACCAAAGATTCCGTTTACTATGAAAAATGGACAGCATACCTAGGTGATGGTTACATTAGCCATGAGAGTCATAACCTAATTCACTTTCTACTTGTCCTCACCCACATTGCCTTTTGGTCAATTAAGTGTGCTAGTTTCTGGTATGAATTAGGCCATGAAATCAAAGTTTTAAAAGATCTGAATATCATCAAAATTTATGGATTCGATCGGGTAGCACTTAAAATGCGATTTGATTACTGTAGGCTATTCCAGAAAATCACAATTTTTATTCTGACTAAAGTTGAAACTGCAATGATTATAACCAGCTTGATTTTATTTCTCGCTCATCTTTATCAGATCCAAGCTTCTTGGTATTTGATGAAGGATTGGTTACAAAAATTATTTGTAATCACCTGGTCCATACACTTCATTATTATTATTTATCTATGCATCTCCATTGGCTATATCGCTGCAGCTTTGATGCTATTTGGCTGTCTTTATGTTAAATTTCGCCAAGACACAGTCAATGCTAATTTGGATTTGGTGAAAAACTTGAAAATATGTCCAGTCGAATTGTTGGAACAGTTAGTTCGTTGTCATTCAGAAGTATATAATTTAATCGATCGAGGTAATCTCGTTTCATTTCCAGTCACCTTTCTAATTTATGTACCGATGACATTTATTGCTGATATTTGTTTCTTCCTCGGAGCTATTTACAAAGTTGATGATGGCCAACTCAACTTTATTTGCATGGCATTTTCGAGTTTAGCAATCGTCGTTTTTGCATATGTCAGCTATTTAGTTGGTTCTATCCATGAAAAGGTAGTCGGCCAATATGATCCAAACTGATTCAATTCATTTCAATATAATTCCTTGCTAAGCAATTTTTTAAAACCAATTCAATCAAAATCTAATTTCAGGCGCAAAGGGCAAGTAAATCTTTCCACAAGCTGATCATACGAACACGATTCAGAAGGCGGTCCAGTCTAAAGGTAAATATAAATAAAAAAAATTGATTTACTTTTCAATCAATATGAATAATCAACATAAAATCCTCGATCTCACATGAAAGACCTTATTTCTATTGGAGAGGATTTTGGAGACTCCAATCGGAATAACAACACCAACAACTGTTATTAAGAAGGAGTTTTTTATCACGGTTAGTATTTATTGAAATAATTGATGAAATAATTAGTTAATCCTTTTTTAACAGTATTTACTCGAAACTGCATCAAATCTAATGCTTTTCATATGTAATTTTCGGAGAGACTGAATCAAGTGGTAATTCAAAGTTAGCCGTGAGATTGACCGCTTTTTCAACTAAAGACTTCAGAGTAATAATTTCTTGATTTAATATCAAGTATAATAAAGTAAAATAATCAATGATCAAACTCAAACATTTCAAATACTTGTGTATTAATTATTTAGTTACATGGTAACATTGATTGAACTGCAAATTATCAATATATTGTTTAGATTTAATACAATGGTTAATTTCTAGTAGAGGCTGGTATAATTATGATACAATTAAATATTTTCGCTTGAAAGAATGAATCTTTCATCGATCGAAAAATTTGAACTTGGTATTACTAAATCAATAAATGTTCTTATTCCAATGAAATACATTCTATTAATAATTAAATTTTAATCGTTTTTTCTTCACGGGATGGATGAATTATGACTAGTCTGAAATCAATTAAATAGATTCCGAGTGAAATTGAAATGATAATTTGAATAAAAAACATGACAATAGTGTAATATTCAAAGTTGCATAATAACCTTACATCTAAATTATCAGATTTCGTGATCTTTCCGCCTTTAGATAAAAGACAGAGTAGTGTGTTTGAAAAATCCCATTCTGATTATCATTGAAATGTTGGAAACTGGAGTTGGTAGGAATCATGATAATAAAATAATGCCTCTGCTAACACCGAAGGTTTTTGAGCAACCATCAGTTAAATTTGACAAAAGTTCAGATCGTGGTAAACAGTATGGTGAATATTTGGACGATAAACTGAAAAACTATCATTTTCTCAACGCAGGGCTTGATTTGAAGCTTCGCCAAATGAAACACATAATTGCTTATGAATCCAGCATATTCATATTCAATTTAATCTGGTCTATTCGACTGTTAACTTTGGCTCTTATTACTAAAGATTCCGTTTATTATGAAAAAATAACTGCATATCTTGGTAATGGTTACATAAGCCACGAGAGTAATAGATTAATTCACTTTCTACTTATGCTTACCCACATGGCAGTTTGGTCAATTAAATTCGCCGGTCTTTGGTATGAATTAACCAAAGGAATCATAATTATGAAAGATCTGAATGTCATCAAAATTTATGGATTCGATCGGTTAGCACTCAAATTGCGGTTCGATCACTGTAGGCTATTCCAGAAAATCACGACTTTTATTCTGACTAATGTTGAAACTTCCATGATTATAACCCTCTCAATTTTATTTATCGGTCATTTTTATCAGATCCAAGCTTCTTGGTATTTGATGAAGAATTGGTTACAAAAATTATTTGTAATCATCTGGTCCATCTATTTCATCTTTGTCCTTTGTTTTATCATCGCCGCTGGTGCTATCGCCGCTGCTTTATTGCTAGTTATTTTTCTTTATATTAAATTCCGCCAAGACACAGTCAATGCTAATTTGGATTTGGTGAAAAACTTAAAAATATGTCCAATTGAATTGTTGGACCAGTTAGTTCGTTGTCATTCCGAAGCATATAATTTAATCGATCGATGCAATCTCGTTACAAAGCTAACCTTCTTTCTAATTTATGTTCCGATGACATTGGTCGCTGATATTTGTTTCTTCACTGGTGCCATTTACAACGTTGATGATGGTCCCATTAATCTAATTTGTATCTTCTTTTCGAGTGTAGCAATCAGTATTTTTGCATATGTCAGCTATTTAATTGGTTCAGTCCATGAAAAGGTAGACCTCTAATAATCCGCTTAATTCTTGCGAAGTTTTACTCTTTTTGGTAAAATCTATTCCAAGATTTCCGTCATTTGAATCAGAATTGTTTATTCGAAATCTCATTTCAGGCTGAAAGGGCAAGTAAATCTTTTCACAAGCTGATCACACGAACACCATTCAACGCAAGGTCCAGTCTAAAGGTAAATAGTAACAAAAAATATAAAATTAGTAAATATAAAATGAAAAGATTAACTTTTGACTCAATTAACATCAATAAAGACCTTATTCCTATTGGAGAGGATTTTGGAGACTCCAATTGGATTGACGACACCAACAACTGTTATTAACAAGGAGTTTTTTGTTACGGTTAGTATTTTTTTTAAATGATTGCTGAAGTAATTAATTAATCCTTTTTTAACAGTATTTACTCGAAACTGCATCAAATCTAATGCTTTTCATATGTAATTTTCGGAGAGACTGAATCAAGTGGTGGTTCAAAGTAAGTCGTAAGATTGACCGCCTTTGCGACTTGTGACTGGTGATAGTTCAAAGACCGCTTTTTTAACTAAAGACTTCAAAGTAACAATTTCTTGATTTAATATCAAGTATCATTTCTTAAAATAATCAATGATCAAACTCAACCTTTTGTAATGCTTGTGTAATAGTTATTTAGTTATTTAGTTAGTGTAATTGATTGACTTTTAAATTATCAATATACTGCGTAGATTTAATACAATAGTTAACTTCTAATGGATTATTTTCGCTTGAAAATTAAAAATTTATTGGAGTTACTAATCAATAAATGTTCATTATAATTAAATTATAATCATTTGCTTTTCACGTGATGGATGAATTATGACTCGTTTTAAGTTAGTGAAATAGACTCAAAGTGAAATTAATATGTTAATTTGAACAAAAAACATGAAAATAGTGTAATATTCATATTAATAGTGTAAGTTTCATAATAGTCTTATATCTAAATTATAATATTATAATTCATGATATTTACGCTTTAGATAAAAGACAGAATAATGTGTTTGAAAAATCCCATTCTGATTATCATTGAAATGTTGGAGACTGGAGCTTGTAGGAATCATAATTATAAAAAAATGCCTGTGCTAGCGACAAAGGTTTTTGCAACATCATCAATTAAATTTGACGACAGTTCAGATCGTGGTAAAAAGTGTGTTGAATATTTGGACGATAAACTGAAAAAGTATCATTTTCTCAACCAAGGACTCGATTTGAAGCTTCGCCCAATGAAACACATAATTGCTTATGAATCCAGCATATTCATATTCAATTTAATCTGGTCTATTCGACTGTTAACTTTGGCTCTTATTACCAAAGATTCCGTTTATTATGAAAAAATAACTGCATACCTTGGTAATGGTTACATTAGCCATGAAAGTCACCAACTAATTCACTTTTTACTTATGCTCACCCACATGGCCCTTTGGTCAGTTAAATGTGCCGGTCTTTGGTATGAATTATTCCATGAAATCAAAATTTTGGCAGATCTGAATATCATCAAAGTTTATGGATTCGATCGGGTAGCACTCAAAATGCGATTCGATCACTGTAGGCTATTCCGGAAAATCACAATTTTTATTCTGACTAATGTTGAAACTTCTATGGTTATAACCCTCGCGATTTTATTCATCGGTCATCTACATCAGATCCAAGCTTCTTGGTATTTGATGAAAGATTGGTTACAAAAATTATTTGTAATCATCTGGTCCATCTATTTCATGTTTGTTCACAGTATTATCATCGCCGCTGGTTATATCGCCGCTGCTTTGTCTTGCGTTGTTTGTCTTTATGTCAAATTTCGCCAAGACACAGTCAATGCGAATTTGGATTTGGTGAAAAACGCAAAAATATGTCCAGTTAAATTGTTGAACCAGTTAGTTCGCTGTCATTCAGAAGTATACAATTTAATCGATCGATGCAATCTCGTTGTATATCTAGTCACCTTCTTAATTTATGTACCAATAACATTCATTGCTGATATTTGTTTCTTCACTGGTGCCATTTACAACGTTGATGATGGTCCCATTAACCTTATTTGCATCTTCTTTTCGACTTTAGCCATCAGTATTTTCGCATATGTCAGCTATTTAATCGGTTCTATCCATGAAAAGGTAGGTTTCCAATAATCCGCTTGATTCTTGCTCTTTTCCTCCTTTTGCTCAAATCTACGCCAAGATCTTCTTATTAGTGAGTTTTCATTCAGCCAATTGAATCAAAATTATTCTTTAAATCTAATGTCAGGCTGAAAGGGCAAGTAAATCGTTCCACAAGCTGGTCATACGAACACCATTTAATTTAAGGTCCAATCTAAAGGTAAATAGAAACAAAAAACATAAAATTAGTAAAATTTTAATGAAAAACTTAACTTTTGACTTTGTCAACAATAAAAGACCTTATTTCTATTGGAGAGAATTTTGGAGACTCCAATTGGATTGACGACACCAACAACTGTTATCAAGAAGGAGTTTTTTATTACGGTTAGTATTTTTTGTAAATAATTGATGAAGTAATTAATTGATCCTTTTTTTAACAGTATTTACTCGAAACTGCATCAAATTTAATGCTATTCATATGTAATTTTCGGAGAGACTGAATCAAGTGGTGGTTCAAAGTAAGTCGTGAGATTGACCGCCTTTGCGGCTTAAGACTGCAAAGTACTGATTTCTGGTTTAATGATCAATAATGTTAATTGATTAACACAAATAGCATTTGTATGCACGTAAATCGTATAAAATACAGTCGATATGGAAATAAAGAAAAATGAAATTCATTTGAAATTTGGTCAATCAATTTTCATAAGAGAAGCATGATGAAAGCGATAATCAAGTTTATATGAAATTAATGATATTGATGAGTAAGATGATGAGCGGAGGAAGAGCAAAGTCAATTGATAATAAGATGAAAAAATGATTATCCAAAATCATTTAGGACAAGTACTAACCAATAGTCTAGTTTAAAACTGGATTTTAACTTGAATGTAAGTCTACTGTTGGATGATCTCATTTTGCATGAGAATCATCGCCTTCTAAAGGTAAGAGTTACGTTGATAGGTAAATAAGTATAAAGAAGAAGATTATTCAAATTGTTATTCAACCTAAATTTGAACAATTGTTTTGCAAAGCTAAGATTTGCTTCCGCATTTCCATCAACATAATGAAAAACTCTCCCTTTTAAATACACTTTTATCGCAAATCTCGTTCTTCTTCTTCTTCTTTATTCATCTTTTCCCATCAGCTTTACCTTTTGTTACCTTTTATTACCATTACAGTCTTTGAAAATTAGGGTAACACTTCAAAAAATGAAAGTAAAATGAAACCCATAAAACAACAAATCTTGTCATAAGTGACAACAACGTTTGATATAATGTTATATTCATTACCACAAATATACAATTTATTGAAATGACACAATATTGTATGCAAGGGCTGGTCAACTATGAATGTAAATTAAACAATAATAATTAAACTGGCAGCTAAAATCACATCACAATTCAAGCTAATGATATTATAAGATGGGAAGGTTTCATTTTGTCTCTTCATTTGAACCTTCATTGTTATCTGAAAAACTGAGGTCATAACTGTATTTACATTATACTGAGTGTTGCCCTGTTCACAACGTAAATTAACTATAATTTATATTTAATGTAAGCAGGATTAAATTGGAATTGAAAAAATCATGGGACAAAAGTAGTTGGCGTTTTTCATTTCACAAAAATGGACATTTGTTTAGATAGGTTAAGTTAACATGGAAACAATGAGAGTTAAAGTAGAAGTAATGAAAATTAAATAATAAATTGTTATCTACCGGAAGAAACAAAATTGAAAGCCAAATTACAATTGATTCATCTTATTATGATTAATTCAATATTGAATGGTAAAGAAACAACAGTTAAAATAAGGTCGAGTTTGAAACATAATGAATGGACAACCAGTATCTGATTCATCCTCATCTTGACATTGTAATTTCCCTTGATAACCTGGAAATGTGTTGTTAAAAAAGCCTTAAGGGATGATCAGGAAGTCAATTAATAATATAACATGATAATACCATTTCAAAATGGTTGATATAATTATCAACGATAATATTAACGAAAACCTTATTTACACAAATTGAGAGAAAGTAAAAGTAAAAAGTAAAAGTGGAAAATAAAAAAAGTAAAGCAAAGTGAAAGTGACTTGCCTTTTGTAGATAGGAAAAAAAGCCAATATAAGAACGAAAGGCTTCCGCATTCAGGTGGTTCCTATAAAATTGACCTGAATAAGGCCAACGATGATGATGATGATGATGATGATGATGATAAAGAAAGCAAGAAAGACTTGAAAGAGAAAATATTGAAGCGAGAAAATCACTTTTATCTTACCTTTCTGAGTCTTTTCTTGTTGAGTTAATAATACATCATAATGGTAAACAAGTTTTTTTTTATTATAAATTGTATACTTTTTGAGTTACTTTTAAGCCGGAAGAAACTGTTGAATTGAAACTATCGATGAATTGAAATCAGCCTTTAGTTTGATCAGGCCAAGGCCTTGTATCCAAATCATTATTTATATCTAATTATAATCAACTTAACAAACCAACTGTGATAAATATTAACAATCATATCAAGCATTACTGCCATCTATTAGTAAAGGGGTTGAAGATTACGAAAATGGCGCTTCTTGTCTCTTGGGTTGGGGAAACCATTTTTATTTGTATCTTTCTGGTTTTAACGCTTTTTTGCGGGTAACTTTATTATTATTGTTGCGTCTTTTTTTACTTTATTGTAATTATCCTTATTTTAAATACAATTTTTATTATTAATCGGTTTGATTTATCCACACCAACTGAGTCAAGGTTAACATTTATTTTTACAGCTAATTGAAGTGTTGAACTGTTTCTTCGTTGTTTCCAGTTGACAACTCATTTATACTTTTAATGCCACCATCTTTTTATTATACCATAATATGGATTGTTGTTTAGTATTTCATTTTGTTTCCGCTTTTAATTAAATTGTAAACTTGTTTATTTATATATTTCTTCTGATTAACTTCAACTAAAGGTGTATTACTAATGGTAATTGGTGTATTTATATAAATTATGATAATCAGGTGGAAGATGATTATACAATAACGTAATTGGCAAAATAGACTGAGCTTTAGTTATGGTGATGGCAGCTAAAGAACGATGTTCCTAACGAGTAAACCAATGAAAGCAAAAGGATTGAGAACATTTCCGGTTCAATATAAAATATCATCAACTGAATTTGGTTAACTTATAAAATTTCAAATGTAATCGTTTAAAGTAAAACCGAGGCTGTTGGCTGTAAAGTGAAATTGCAAAAGTTACCAACGATTAGAGATGCAAATGGATGAAGCAAAAGGAAGGGTTAAAGCCAATCAAAGTATAAATCCAAAATGATGCTCAAATGCATAATATAATCCATTAATATTAGGTTGATCGATTCAAAGTTAATGAATTTGGATTATGATTACCTTTCAAACTGATTTGGTCATTTTACTGGAATACCACTTTCACCAAATCAACTCAATATACAACAAATTTGTATATCATCTATTAATGTAATATACAAAAAAAAAACGCTCACACAAAGTAATATTTGACTAATAATTATATTTAACTCCATTCAATTTAACAAACAAGTAATTAAATTGTCCAATTTGAGACATTAAATTATACATAAATATATTTAAATTTGTTACCTCACTTTGTTTTGATTATTATGGTTTTTGGTGTAGGTTTTGACCTAATAATAGTTTTAACCGGAAAATTTTCTTCTCTTCCTTCTTTAATCATAACACCAAAACGACTGTTAATTCATTAGGACAATTAATGGTTGAGTTGACAAAAAAACCTAAAACTAAAGAGTTAATCTCAATAATAGAAGCAACATTTCTGGTTACATTTCTGGTTACATTTCTGGTAGACTTTGGCGATCCACAAACAAAAGCTGATTGTTTTAAAACATAGTAACATTTGATGGTAATTGATGAATGCAACAATTAACCAATTGACTATCAAATATGATTTACCTTTAAGCATTTGGAAATGAAATTTTGGGTAAAATCTTTTGGTTCATTGAAAGGCAATACAAAAGGCAATAAAGAGTCTTTTTTTAAACTTTGACAAAACCTTTGACTTTATTGTTGAAAGGTAAAGAGGTCAATTGAATGGGTCAGTTTACTTGGCTAACAGTGTCTTGAAAGGGTCACTTTAATTTATGTGTGTCAGTAAAATGTCTAATAAAAGTAGACCTTTTACCGTTACTCTGGTCATTTAGCCGTAAAAATTGCAAGTGAAAAAGGTTAAGCCTTGAAGCCTTTTTTTCGTTTACCGTTAGTTGACAATGTTATTTGAGACAAAAACTGTTGATCCAATGGTCAACCTGACTGGTAAGTTAACCCAGTAACCTAAGAAAATGTTAATTAAATTAAAAATTAGCCAATAAAGATTATCCCATAATCCCACTCAATCAAGTTTCACTTTTGTTGGGAGTTTACCTCTCAACATACTTTTTGTTGCATAAAACAGCTTTAGTCAATTCGTGTGTCCATTTCAACAATAACAAGGCCAATTCAAGAATAATGATAATAAGTCTTCCTCATCTTCTTCCTCTCATCTCACTCCATCTAATCTACTTTCTATCAAAAAGTGTGTTTAGGTGAATCAAAACGATGAAACTTTTTTAGCACAATTTGACCTAAATTGAAACAACTCTCTTACGGACGACTTTTTTACAGATAATTCAAACTTAACTTTTCTCCCCCGCTTTGCTCTCTCTCTTCACTCACTTTTACTTTTTTTGTTGATGATGATGAAAGAAGAGAAGAGAAGAGAGAAAAAAGTAAAAAAAGAAAGAGAAGGTAGAAAGAGTAAGAGGCAGGGAATGCCCAAAATATTTGTATAACACTTCCTGATGCGATTCACGGTTCCGTTGTTAGTCTCTTTCTTTCCTCTCTTTTTAGTCTCTTTTTTGGTACTACAATGACTGTATGGACTGAGGAGGAGAGACGAAAAAGATAGTGAGAGTGAGTGAGAGAGAGAGACTCTCAACTTCCCCCAGGTCACTTATCGAACGCAGTTCGTAATTGTAAAGCAAAGAGAAGACCTTCTTATTGAGTATTTCATTCATTTTTGCATAGACTGTTATTTCATCTCTCCCTCTCTTTGTCTTTGTCACCATCATCATCATCATCATCTTCATCATCGGTATCATCACCTTGTCATCATTGTCACCATCTTCACCATAATCATAAATATCATCATCATCATCATCATACTCATCATCGGTAAAGAGAGAGAAAAAGAGAGTGAAAGAGAGGGAGAGGGAGAGACACATATCTTAACCTAAACCATCTCATCTCATCGGTTGATCAACTTGAGCTTGAATACCTAGAGGTCTGTGGATCTACCTTAAGTGTTGCTGTGTTGTGACTGTGAATACAATTGGATACTTTGAACACAAAAGTGTGCGGTTAAAACAATATTTTTACGGATTATAAATACACAATTAATTTATTTCATTATTTTACAATCTTAATTTATATATGATTAATATTTAATTTAATCTAATATTTATTGTTTTTACCTCTTTTGTTGTCTGTTTTTACATACATGTGTGTCTTTACAGAGCAAATAAGCCTCCAGGAATAAGTATAAACACGAAACCCAAACTTCAACCTTTCCTAGTTTCCTTAATTGCTACTTAGACTTTCACTAATTCTAACAATCAACTAATCAATGGCTGATTATGCTTATTCCTCGTCTTTCTAATTGTATGTCTTAAACATTAAAAACCATGGATCTGGATTAATATTAATCAAACAGTAAACATAAAGCAACAAAACAACAAACAAAACAGTAACATCCTCACAGTGTAACCCAGCAAGCTCATCAACAACGACGTCAACACACCAACCAAACGCCATTTAACAATAAAGGTAAGACTATTTAATTAACAATTATTACAATAATATTAACATCAGTCAACATTAGTCAACACAAGTCTAACTGTAAAATAATATAAATTAAACTGCAATCAATAGAAACAATTTACCAAATCTCATTACCAGAGACAAGAAAAGTAAAACCCAAAAACCAAATCGCCATTTACTCTGGATAACATCTAACGACAATTGTTAAACAATTGTCATGTCAACCGATTACACAATTAACATTGTTAACTAATGCCAATTAAGGATTGCCATTTTACCTGGGAAGGCTAAACGAGTAAATTGTATTGAAAAAATAGGCTTATGAAGCTTCTTTTGTACTGTAAATGTTCAATGTTTTTAACATACCTTTGTTACTTTATTGTTGTTTACATGGTCACAATGTTTCACTCATCTTGATTATTGAACTAAATTGCTTTCTCAATGGTAATTCATATGAATATCTTCACCATTGACTAAGTGTTTTGTCAACTAACGGTAAAAAAAGTGGATAACTTTTTTACCTTTAGCTACAAACTTGCAACTTTTACAACCAGATAACCAAAATAACGGTAAAAGCCTACTTTTACCAGTTTTAACCATTTACTGTTACCTTTGGTTAATCTATCATTTTACGAGTGGATACTTTGTTGGACACATAAATTAAAGTGACCCTTTCAAGACACTGTTAGCCAAGTAAACTGACCCATTCAATTGACCTCTTTACCTTTCAACAATAAAGTCAAAGGTTTTGTCAAAGTTTAAAAAAAGATTCTTTATGGCTTTGTATTCCTTTCAATGAACCAAAAGATTTGACAAAAAAAGATGAAAATTTCAATTCAAAATCTCGCTTCAAATAAACCTTTGAGTTTGATTAACGATCAAAGTATCATTGAACATTTGTCCAACAGTTTGACCAAAACCAACCTTAAATTGTTCACCATTTGATTCATTGTTTCATGAAATATTATTTTGAATTTTGCCTCAAAATTGTGACTTGTGAAAGGCTGAAAGTCGCATAAATTTAGTCATTTAACTCTTTTCCAATCTTAATTCAACAATTTAATCAGCTTAATTTAAATTAACTTCCGTTCTTCCGGGTTTTACTTTTAATTTTTTGTCTTCTATTTACTTTGATTGTGAAAGTGCAACAACGAAAAACTCAATCAACTATTAACACACAAATGAAAGTAAAAATGGGTTAAAAATTGAAACATTTCATGATAACAATTAGCTTTTTATTGAAACATTTCAATCACTGAAACCATCAACCGACAAAACCAAACCTCTGAAATAAAGCAATTCAAATGCTGGTTTTCACTGAATATCATTTTGATTAGGAATAATAGTTGAACTTTAATTTACTCTGACCATTAAATGTTCAAGTCCATTGGTCAAACAATCATTGATTATATTAAAATATGATCAACTCAGCTGGTTAACCATTCAAGTTGAATGGTAGGAAATGGGTATAAATTTTGTTTTTGTTGTTACAGCAAAATAGAAATGAAAAAATGTTGGATTTTTTTTTCAATTGTAACTATTGATGATGATTTAGTTTCTCTTGATCAACACACAAATCATATTTTAACCGGAAGAATCAACTTATGCAAGTTTCAATTGAAAGATATATAAAAAAACCAAGTGAAGAGGAAGAATACAAAAAAGTTATTGATCAAAATGACCATTTGTTGATTGTGTTACCTTTTCATTGAAAGTGATGAAAGGAAACTTTCGCCTTTAGATAACTTATTATGTTATATTATCACAATCAATGGAGGTGGCATTATTGGTGGTGGTGGTGGAGGAGGAGGAGGAGGTTGATGAGCAGATAAATGAAGGTTGAATCAGCTGTTGTTGTTGTATGTCCAGTTTAACCCTCACATAACCGGAAAACGGACTCAATGCAATCTTTATCTTCCGCTTTTATTGAACATCAAATGATGAAAATAAGATGACAAAAGGGAGAGAGAGAGAGAGGAGTGAAGATAAAGATGAAGAGGAAGATGAAAAAGGAAGATGGAAAGACGACCTTAAAAAATGGCTTTCCTTTGACAAGTATTGTTAGGGAAAACTGTGAACACAATTTTACTTTTTTTTTGTTCATTGCATACTTTGAAACACTTTTAAAGGCTCATCAATCATTAATTATTGAACATTTTATTGACTTAACTTGATGATTAACTTGTGATTAACAATTGAGTTAGCATGTTATCAATATGAATTATTTAAGTTTTGTGTTGAAGCGTGCTAATCAAATGATCAAAACCAGCTTTATTGCAACCTGATTTCATTTAATACTTGCTATTTTTTTTAGATTTAACGGTAATTTAAATTAGATTGCTTTCAATAGTTTGATTAGGAAGCTTTGTTGGTTATGCATTGATCTGATTATCACATGATACTCATTCAGAATTTTGAGCTTTGAATTAATCAGTTGTTATTGATGTCTTTATGTTTCAATTTGGATTTTCTTGCATCTTTGCCACATTAAAAGGTAATCTGAAAAGGTTACTTTGAATCATTTTGAGTCAAAGTAACCAGATTTTGGGTTTTTTGTCATTAGTGTTAACCTGACTTTGGGTTAAAGGTGAAATTTAGATTTGAATATCAATTTTAATTTGATTTACTTTTTTGATCAAAATGAAACCTTTATTAGGATCCAATTTTTGTCTTCAAAATAATCATAATTGTTGGTTAATAGTGGATTTTTGTCGCTCTGTTCAACTTGTTGTTACAATGTACAATTGAGTTAACGATAACAAAAAAGGTGAACAAAGGGTTGAAAGGTTTAAAGATTAGTTTATTTTGTTGGTCAAAGAGTTTAGGTTGGACTTGTCTTTCAACATGAGAAATCCTTTTCTAATCTGATATTTAGCCAAATTACAATGAGCAAAATTAACTAGCACTGATTCAGATGACAGGCAGTTTGAAATGTCTTTAAAAATGATAAATCTCACACTGGGATTAGTGAAAAGCTCAATCTTTTCAATTTTTGCTAATAGTGTTCATAATTTTCTCGGTGGAAACAAAGTCAAGACAATATTGGAAGAAATATCTCAATGATGATCAAAGTTACAACTGCTCTAATAAGCCTCAACGCATTTGATAATTGATAAACAATTTATCAACATTTCTATCCATGTCTTAATCTTACAGAATAGATCTTTTGATATTTCTTTTATTGTGTAAATAATATGAATCTATCAGATTTGAAGCTTTGTGCAAAAGCCTTGAGAAAATTCATGTTAATTATGAATTAAGATGATTTGGCTGAATTTATCAGGATTTTGAGTACAAAGACAACATGTTAACGCATATTGGCACTACAATTTGAATAAAAATTTCTAACATTTCTTTACTAATCAGTTAATTGCAATATTTTGGACTATTAACATTGAAAAATAGAGTCATAAATGAAGTTCACATTTCCATGGACTGAATAGTGAATATCTAATAGTGAAAACAAGACACTGAACACACTACACTGAAATCGGTTCAGCAAATAAACTATGAAACTAAAGTATGATCGTCGAGTGAACTTTTTATTTCGAAGCTAAAACTTTTGAATGTTCAATTGCCATTACTCGTTTGCACTAAGCTTCAATAAGTACAGTTTACTTTCCAATCTGACCTTACCTGAATCTTACCTTCTGACCAATCTGTTAATCTTAATAATATAACGAAGTCCATGAACCCTACAATAAAGTATTGTCTAACAATTAATTTGTATCTTGCTTTGAGCTTTGTTGGTTTAGTTTTTGAAAAAAATGTGTTCGTCAACTTATTGTTTTAGATTGGCAAGAAAATATGTTTTAAAAGTTGCGTGAGTTGAAAGGTCAATAATCATAGACGGTACAATGTCCAGACTTGCTTGAGATTGACCATCGGCATGATTGCCATGTCTAAATGTAAAAGGTGAAGGGTTTTCTTATAGGCTTTTCGTGAGGAAAGCCTAATAGTAATCAGTTGGGTAAATATCTAGAAAAATGATGAAGATGAAGACGGCAAGGATGGTGATGATAAAAGTGAGTGAAGGAGAGAGAAAGAGACAAAAAATGAAGGAAACAAACAACAACAACAATAATAGACAAATGATAATCTCGTAACAGAGGATGATGTGAAAGGGGTCTCTCCTTGACTCTCCTTTAACCCAGCAACCCACCACCTACCGGTTTGACTCTCACATCATCCAAGCGTCTGGTTTTTTACAATCATTATATTAATATAAATCGGAATTAAATATGATGATGATCAGTGAGTAAACCAGAGAGTGTAGGAGAGTCAAAGGAAGACTCAATCCTCTCCTGTCCATGTTTTTTTTCTGTCTCTCTCTCTCTTTCTTTCTTTCTCCCTTCCAACTCCCCCAGGCTGTTATTATTATTTACTGAATGTCCATTGTAATGGACAACAACATAAACAGTTGATCCTGAAAAGTTACGACCGATCCCAAGACTGACTCAAATTAGGTCACACTGGACAGATGGAGGAAGGCCACTTTGAGGCTACTTTTTTAACTCTCCTTCTCCAACTCCTTCCAAGATTTCTTTACTTTTTTTCCCTCTCTCCTTCTCCTTCATCTTCACCATCCTCCTCCTCCTCCTCATCCTCCCTCTCCTACCTTTGACTCTCTTATGTCCCATTTTTTTAGACGATATTACTTTGCGCTTTATTGCCCCTTCAGGCCAATCCCATGTAAAAAACACCAAAGAGTAAATGGCAATCCCTTCTTCTTTCATCATCAACATCTTCTTCTTCATCTTCAGCTTTCACAGGTTTTTTTTATTGTGATCGGGTTATCGATATACAATGCTTTAACGCACACACAAGAGCGTGTTTTTTACAGCCTTTCCTCTCACTCATCTTTTACCTTCTCACTCATCCTCGTCCTCATCACTAGTTTTTTGATGATTTGCACAGTTTTTTTTTATATTTTTATATTGCATAGACTTGCTTGCTGAACTGTTGATTCAATTTTAAACTCAATCTAATTTCTTGTTCATATTTGTTTTCAGTTGTGATTGAAATGAAGCCCAAATTTCGCTTTTATATCAATGAAGATGATGTGCCATTGGATTTAAGTGTTAAACGTTTTAATCCAGTTTATATTTCATCTCGTGATCATCCACTTGATTTAGCATCAACACATCGTCACCATCACCATCATACTCATCATTTATTAATTCACAATGGTCACAACAATAGCAACGGTAACCATCATCACCATCATAATGGTCATCACAATAATCATCATCACCATTTCACAAATTTAAACAACCATCACTCGGTCAACAACAACAATAACAACAACAATCACCTTAATCATCATTCCAATCATCATTTAAATTCTCTCAATATTCACCATCATTTAAATCACCATGAAAATCATCAACTCCATCTAATCCAATCACCAATTCAATCTCCAATCCATTTAGATTCATCGTCTTCCTCGCCTCCAACCATTGTCGACCAATCAACTAATTTATACAACAACAACATCATCACCAACATCAACAATAATCACAATAACAACATTAACAACAACAATAATAATAACAACAATCTAAATTGCAGCAAAATTATTAGCAAAAACAATATCAAAAATAATAGCAAAATCAGTAATGATGAAAATGATAGTAATGAAAAGAGTAGTCATTCAATTACAATCAATGATGGTGAACCAAATGAAAATGATGACCATCAAACGTCCCTTCACTCACCAAATAGTGATGATCTAAATGGTAATTGTATTAATAATCGGCGAACCTCTAGACCATTAATGGGTAAACATGTCCGTCGTGGAACCGGAGCTTCACCGCAAATCTTGTCCCGATTGAAGTCCATATTGCAGGATAAACAGCGTCTTAGGGAAACAGGTTTAGTGCCATCAAATTGGAAGCGTAAAAAGATGGCAAAAGCTTACAATTGATTAATCAACTAATCATTATTATTGAATTTCTATTATTAATTATTTTATTATTATCATTACCCATGTAATTCCCCCCCAATTCATTTGCTACTCTCTCTGTATAATCAAACCCAATCTTTACAACACTTTTGTCAACTTGCTTTTTGTCATCCAGCTAATTTATGTATGCATTAATTTAAATTTATTTATCATTTCAATTCCAGAGTTAATCTAGAAACTGAAATTTGATAATTTGACAAAAGTGCGCTGACAATTTCCTCTTAATTAAACAGTTGATTGTAAAAAAATTAAACTCCATTTTATATGTTATTTATCTTTGTACTAAAACGTTTTTATTTTTTTCTCTGCCTGTCCCCATGAGTTGACCGTGTAATTTGTTAAGTCAATTCATCTTTATATATATTAATCAACAAATTGTCGACTGTAATCATAATTTGAGAATCTTTTTTTCACAAAAAAGCGATTTTCTTTTTCCCTCATTTTCTGAAAAAAGCTTCATGCATTGTTGTAATGGTCCCTCTCTCATGGCAGCAATGTTGCTCTATCTTTTTAATTCTGTAAACATTAATGGAAGACAATCTGATTAATTTTCTTCTCTCTCTTTTCCTTTTTGTAATAAGTTGATTATATTTAAAATTATTTAATAGATGCTTCATAAATTAAATTAATTTTTTCATCTTTTAAACAATCGGTCTTGCGTTTATCTTTGTCCCGGTTACTCTGGTTTGTGTTGTGTGTTAGCAATGGCTTCGAAAGCTCGCAAAGCTGCTGAAAAGGTTATTCATACGACTCCATTATTTGTTTGGATCTCCGCGGGACTTGCCAATCCTGGTCCACCATTGGGACCACAGTTAGGTCAAAGAGGGATTAATATTGCTCAATTTTGTAAAGAGTTTAATGATAAAACTGCCAAGCACAAGAAAGGAATACCTATTCCTTGCATGATTTCGGTTAATGTAAGTATTTTATTGTTCATAACTTGGTCTCAATTTCCTAAACTTTTATATTTCATTGCTGTTAATCATTTTCACTCCATTACTTTTTATGAATAATTTAAATTGATGTTGGTTTTCTCTTTGTTTTAGCCGGACAGAAGCTTCAAACTTACCATGAGTAATCCACCCATAACGTATTTCTTAAGACAAGCTGCCGGAGCTGAAAGAGGAGCAGCCGATTACCGAACACAGGTTGCTGGCATGATCACTGTTAAACATGTTTATGAGATTGCGAAGATAAAGAGCCAGGATGCTTATTATGAGAATGTACCGATGGAAAAGATTTTCCAAGAAATAGTTGTAAGAGCTCTCCAGATGGGAGTCAAAGTTGTACACAAATTGGATGCCAAGGAATATGCGGAATTTTTGGAGAAACGAAGGGTTGAAGTAGAAGAAGAATTAAGAAAACTTGAAGAGGAACGTCAAAACAGATTGTTGAGAACCTAAACTGTTTCATTCGCCTTATTCTTGTTGAAAAAACCTTTGTAGATAATATGGACCCATATGCACATTTGAGTATATTTGCATCTATAAATGAATCCATAGGAACGGAAAAAGAAACGAATTATCTAATATAGATGTTGCTCCGTCGATTCAATTGTCGTACGAGAAGATTTTGTAAAAACAATTGGTAGAGTCAATTAAATATCAATAATGTAAGCAATTGCGTTTTTACTCAACGTTTTTAAATCAACTTATGATCGATTCGGCTATTTTACTCGCGGAATTTTTTAAAGCATCTTTTTTACAAAATTTTATTCTACCATTTTAGCACTACCGTGAAGTGAAATTATTAGATGAATTGGGAATCATTGAAAGAAACAATAAAAGTTTCATTAAAAACTGGAAACTTTGTGAGTTTTAAACAGTTCACATTCGATATCGATACTATGGATCAGATAGATATATCGATATGTATCTTGATGACTCATGTATGATGAGCTGCAGTTTTGTTAGAGTCTAGTGTTGTTGGTTAATTTCAGTTTGATTGTTTATTAATTGTTTTTCATTGTCAATTGGTCCAGCAGTTTAATATGACTTCGGAAAGATATAGTTTTTCTCTAACCACCTTCAGTCCTTCTGGAAAATTGGTTCAAATTGAATATGCCTTGGCTGCTGTTGCCTCTGGAGCCAACTCTACTGCTATTAAAGGTTAGTTTTTTAAATTTAATTTTTGATCTGTTCTTTAATTTCATTGGTTTCATCTTAATCAACAGCTTCAAATGGAGTAGTTCTAGCTACGGAAAAGAAACAAAAGTCTATACTTAATGAAGAGCATAGTATTTTCAAAATAGAAGCAATCACTGAACACATTGGAATGGTTTATAGTGGAATGGGACCTGATTATCGTCTTTTGGTCAGGAAAGCTCGCAAAATTGCCCAAAAATATCAATCAATGTACGATGAACCTATTCCAACATCTCAATTAGTTCAACGGGTTGCCTACATCATGCAAGAATACACACAATCAGGAGGTGTTAGACCATTTGGTGTATCTCTGCTTATTGCTGGCTGGGACAAGAATAAGCCTTCATTGTTCCAATGTGATCCCTCGGTAATTTTTATTCTTTCATTATTATTCTCTTAGTATATGAATTAAATTAATCCTCTGTTGCATATTTCTAGGGCGCTTATTTCGCCTGGAAAGCTACCGCTTTGGGTAAAAATCATGTCAATGGAAAATCATTCTTGGAAAAGCGGTATGTTTTATCATTTGGTTACTTCATTTGAATGTAAAACTCATCAATTTTCATTTTTAATTTCTTACAATGGCATTACAGGTACAGCGAGGATCTTGAATTGGAAGATGCTATTCACACAGCTATTCTGACTCTCAAAGAAGGATTTGAAGGCCAGATGACTGCTGATAATATAGAAATCGGTGTTTGCGATAAAAAAGGTTTTCGTCGATTAACTCCTTCAGAAGTTCGTGATTACCTGGCTAGTATTTAATTTTTTTAATCATTAAACTTTTGATAAAGATCAATTATCTTTTATTCTCTAATTTATACAAAAAGGTAATAACCGTTATTTAGAGAGTAAAATGTTACTTTAAATCGAACATTCATTGAAAACGATTTTATTAAGTTGATAATTTCTTTTAATTTATATATTTGACATAATTTTAGCATAATTCCATTTTATTTCCGCGGGAATTTGTTATAGTTTTAAGGGTTAATCTTTTTGACTGAAGATGCATTACCAGGTGAGACTCGGATTGGTGGTAATGGTACATCAGAAGGTTCCGTGGCAACAGCGATACTTTTCTTGGTCCTTTCTCTGAAAAACCCATGAAGAGTTTTGCATTCTCTCACAGTTATGGTCATATCATTAGCTGTGACATCAGTAATTAATATCTGGTCAACAAGCTTATTTTGTTTTTTCCAGAAATCAGGAGGGGGTGAACAGTTACGCACTGTTTTCTCACTAGAAACATGATCACTATTATCATATGATAATTTTCTTTTATATTTTTCTTTTTCCTCAATTTTTTTATCTTGACCTTTTTCTGATTTATTATTATCAACTCCACCAATTGAAGATGATACAGATGTAGAGTTACCAGTAGTTGCAGTGTTCACGGGAGTCGATAATGCCGCAGTTGCCATACTATTACTAGTAACTCTACTGCTTTGTTTACTCGCATCTTTCTCTTTTTCCTCTCGTTTTCCTTTCTCTTCTCTTTTCTCTTTATCCTCTTTTTTATCTTTATGTGAATTACTATGATGATCATGATGATGGTGTAAATGCGAATTAGATGAAGTCTGTTGGTGATGATGATGGCCTGAGGAAGAATTGTAACCTTCATTTTGAGCTTGCTCAAAGGCTTGTATTAACCTTTCGTCCAATATGTTTTCCTCGGGTTCCCATGTATTGTGTCTAGGTGAATAGTCCTTCCATTTTACAAGATATTCGGTTTTACCTTTCTTACTCCTTTGTTTAAGAATACATTCGGCTGCGTATACGCGGTCACCAACTGAAGACAGCTCCATCTCTTTTTCACGGCGTAATAGGTCAGCATCACTTTTATTAGTACTCATCGGAACGGATGATTTGTTCAACTGTTTACTTTTCATAATTTTGGCTTTTCGTGTCTTTCCTATTTTAAACGTTAATAATGATAAAATTACAAGCAAAGATAAGCCTCAAAATAGGCTTTCCTATTAAACAATACTAAAATAATACGGCGCACAACAAAAATATTTGTAACTCCTTAGTGTTGACAGTTTTATAAGATTGGCAAACAGGTAATATTCAGGCAATCAGAAAAAGGAAGAACAAGGCAAGATAGGGAAAGAAGAGAAAGAAAAATGAAAAAGATGAAAACAAGTTATGTTGATAGTTTAGTTGATTGTTGCTATCAAGATAATTAAATATGTAGCCAACATTTATTGGCTTATAGATGTAGAACAGGTATCACAAGCAGTATTGCTTTAAAACAGGTGATTCAAATTAAATCATCTTTCCAGTTGATAATTAAAATAAAACCAATTTATAAATAAAAAAAACAGACCAAATTTTATAACTTTCAGTGAGGATTTAGTTTATGCTCACCCCGCTAAGAGGAAAGTAGATTTATTGGCGCAATTTTCAAGCACACTCTTCCGGAAATAAATGCGAGATGAAAATTATAAATTGAACAAATTTATTGGTAATTGATAACTATACATTGTCCATTTTAAATATTGATGCATTGATTTAATGTGATCATCGATATTTAAATTAATTTTTTTCACTTAAGCTCATGCCAATTCATGTTTTTACAGTTTAACACAGGATCGACTTATTAACTACAGAATTGTAAATCAATTAAGTAATTTTTAAGTCTTACAAACGTTGTTGGTACAAACATTGAAATCCTAGAAAATTAATTGATATAAATGACTGTCAAAAGTCCTGTCATTTCCTGACGTTTTTAATCTCAAAAATAAGTTGAAAATTTCGATCAACAAGGTTTATCCTCTTCTTTAATGGATTCAGGAGGCGGTGAACAGTTACGTATTGTTTTTTCCCTAGAAACATGTTCAGTATTATCGTACGATAATTTTCTTTTTAATTTTTCTTTTTCTTCGGACTTTATGTCTTGATCTTTTTGTTGTTTAATATCAACAACTCCTTCACAAGGTACAATTGAAGTGCTGTCAGTGGTTTCAGTCTCTGGAGTCGATAATGTTGCAGCTTCAATACTATCACTAGTAGCTTTACTGCTTTGTTTGCTCAAGTCTTTCTCTTTTTCTTCTTTCGTTTCTTTGTCGGAATCCTCTTTCTTATTTTCATGAAAATGATTATATTCATGATTATGGAGAGATTTCCTATTAGAGGAAGTATTTTGGTTAAAATGTTGGTTTAGCGAGGAACTGGAATCTTCATTTTGTGTTTGCTCTTCCTCTTCAATTTTTACACTAGGTTCGTTGTCTAACTTATTTGTTTTATCGGATTCACTGGCTAGCATTGACACAGAGGTAGCTTTATCACCAGTATCGATGATTGCTGGTGTTGATGCTGCTGAAGCTGTCGTATTATTACTAGTAATTTTACTGCTTTGTTTACACAAATCCTCATTTTCGCCTTGAGTCCCTTTTTCTTCTTCTTTCTCTTTTTCTTCACCATCGGTGACATCTTTTGGTGAATGTTGATTATCTAACTGCGAATCAGATGTAGCCTGGATATCATGATCATCATCTACAGGAGAGTTAGTACCATCAGATCTTGCCCGCTCTTTTTCTCCGTTTTTTCCGTCCGGTTCATCTTCTTTTCCATTTTCTCTCTCACAATTTGAAGACAATATGGATTTAGAGTTACCAGTAGCTTCAGATATTACTGGCGTCGTTGATTTAGCAGTTGAATAGCTTGGAATATAACTTAACCTTAACCCTACTCCACAACTAAGATTAGGTATCCAGTTTGTAGATTTCCTGGCAACTTGCAGTCTAGTAGCTTGTCGTTTTGTCTTCACAAGTTGTTTCTTTACATTTGATATATAGTCTTTGAATAATGGAGTTGTCTCCAAGTTGATGGGAAGATTGGCACTCGTCATTACAATTCACGAACTAAAGAAAACGAAAAACTAACAAAAAAAAATAGCTTCAGTCTGTCAAAAAAAAAACAAAATAATTGAAATCAATATTATTTTAGTTTCAAGTTGAAACTTTCAACCGCAAGTTTCACTGCTGCGCAAGATCACCATGCAATATCATTCAGCGCGAATTTCAGTTTGACAATTTTTGAGCGATATTTTGAAATAATATCATTGTTTTCTTACGCTAAATTATTTAATTTACAAGTATGGTATTAATCAATAGATTATAAATTGACAATCCTTGAGTATTTAGCTATCAATGTGACAATCAAAGTGTCAGAATTTTTTTAGGTGACAAAATATGTTCATTGGTTAAAATGTTGATAAATCAAACGAAATGAAGAGGAAGGTAAATGGTTAAAGCGTTAATTTTACATCTATTAATGGTACAAAAGTAAATACAATACTTTTCATTGATGAGTACAATTAGTTTGTTTACAGCATTTTTATGTAAGGAAATCTTTTCGTGAAAATCTCTTGGAAATGACATTGGAAATTGAATTCAATGATTCAGTTTAAACATGAATTGTGAGTTGGGCACAAAGATTGAAGCACAACCAAAACCTAATGCAAGAACAAGAACGGGCAAAGCTACTTCAGCGACATACAGTTTAGCTGGAATATCATCGAAAATATCGGGGAAAATCATGACTTCCATGGCTTCACAGACAATGATGATCAGGAAACCGGCAATACTACAAAACTGGATTGCTGAGAAGCAAAATTAATGAGCTATTGAACTTATTCAAATATATTGACTAGACTTACTTTGGTTAAAAATGGGGCGACTTTTGGCCATTTCCAGAAGACAATTATTCCGAAGAGAACTGAAAGTGTTAGGAAGAACAGTGAAGTTGTCATGCTATCGTAAATTCAGCGTAACGTCAGATTCAAGGGATCGTCCATAGAGCCAAATATTGAAAGGCATCATCACAAGAGTCGCGATTGTGGATATGGAAGTCATTGTAACACTAAAAACAGACATTACACTCATGGTTATTCAGTTAATGGACTTGAAATTCAATAATTAATGAGACATCGCCATCACAGAAAAATATGAATAGAGAAGGCATAAAGGAATGGGAAAAGCCAAACTTTCCGTAATTGCTAAAGATGGAAATAGAAAGGAATTAGTAAGATTCAGACAAATCACCAAACTATTGAATTTCGTAAATAAATGATTACCTCGAATGGATAAGATAGAGAAACAATCGCCAAAGCAGTTCCAACATTTTGAACTCCACATTCAATAGCAACAGTCCTTCGAGAGGCATATGGAAGTGAAAAGATTGAAGCACAACCAAAACCTAATGCAAGACCAAGAACAGGTAATGCTACTTCGGCGACATATAGTTTAGCTGTAATATCATCGAAAATATCGGGGAAAATCATGACTTCCATGGCTTCACAGACAATGATGATCAAGAAACCGGCAATACTACCAAACTGGATTGGTGAGAGTAGAAGCGGAATTAGTAAACTATTGAACTTATTCAAATATATTGACCAGGACTTACTTTGGTTAAAAATGGAGCGACCTTTGGCCATTTCCAGAAGACAATCATTCCGAAGAGAACTGGAAGTGTTAAGAAGAACAGTGAAGTTGTCATGCTAGCGTAAGGAATAACAATTGTATCAGATTCAAGGGATCGTCCATAGAGCCAAATATTGAAAGGCATCATCACAAGAGCCGCGATTGTGGATATTGAAGTCATTGTAACACTAAAAACAGATATTTCACTCACAATTATTCAGTTACTGAACTTGAAATTCATTAATTACCTTAATGAGACATCGCCATCACAGAAAAATGTGAATATATTGGAAGTAACTCCTCTTGGACTTGAGGCCAAGATGAGGAGACCAGCAGCATGTAGAGGATCAATATCAATTACATGGAAAGGTGAAAGACAATTAAAAAGTGAACCCAAAGGGATCGTTAAAATAGGCTTATTGCTTAGCTAAACCTCTATATTTAAATTATTCTTTTGGACAGGAATTTTTTTGCTCGAGCCCATTCACCTTTTCTCTTTGGCTCGACTTGCCGTCGAAATTTACATGCGGGTGGCCTGGTGTATCGACGATTATAATGTCTTATAACATCAGTTCTACGTTTTGTTGTATAATCACAGGGACTATACGGGCATCCGTATACAATTGAATTCTGAAAAAAATGATGAATAAATTAATGGTTCAATTTTAGCTCAACTTACTGCTGCATGTTTTTTAGCGGGATTATTTTTACATGTACATACATATTTTACGTGACAAGTTTTGTCATCTTTCGCTGCTGTTGCATTATCCAGATTCGTTGTTAGAATGTTGGAGTCTGGTTCTTCAATTTCCATTGAATTTTCATCCCCTTCACTCTTATTCTTTTCTTCCTGTTGCTCAACTGAATTCAAGTTCTGAAATGGAATGGATAGAAAAGACCCCAGCGCTTGATCACTTCGAATTACTACGTACCGTGTTTTTGTTTTCGACATCCAATAGCATGTTCGCTTGGCTTCCATCATTCTCTTCTGCTACTGCATTATCTGGATAAATATCCAGATTCGGTGTAAGAACGCTGACGTATTCTTCTTGGATTTCAATTGATTTTGCTATCTAAGAATAATTAGTTGAAATACAATACTAATTAGTGTGAGTTTGTCAAGGGATAACTCATTCATACTTACCATATTTTCATTTTCAGATGCTTGGCATGTTTTTTCATCTTCTTCACTCTTTGTTTTTTCTTCACCATCGGTGACATCTTTTAGTGAATGTTGATTATCTAACTGCGAATCAGATGTAGCCTGGATATCATGATCATCATCTACAGGAGAGTTAGTACCATCAGATCTTGCCCGCTCTTTTTCTCCGTTTTCTTCGTCCGGTTCATTTTCTTTTCCATTTTCACCCTCACAATTTGAAGACAATATGGATTTAGAGTTACCAGTAGCTTCAGATATTACTGGCGTCAGTGATTTAGCAGTTGACTCGTTTTTAGTATAACATAACTCGTTTATTTAATAAATATACTAATTAAAAATACTGACATATTGTAATAGAAATACAAAAAGTGATATAAAATAGAATATTAATCTATTTCGATTAAAGGTACATTGTTTGTATCATTGGTTTTTGAATTACCATTAAAAGCAGCAACTGCATCTGCTGCTGCTGCAAGAAAAGAAGAATTATGAATATTTATTTCGCCACTTTTGAGTTTCGCCGCCCATTCATCGAGTTTTTTGATGTCAGATTCAATTTTGAACATTTCTCGCAAGTAATCATTGTTATTGTAAATTGGACTATTCACAGATTTTTTGCTATTGGCGTTAGCGTAATTTTCTTCATCTTTTTCCTAGAAATAGAAATTATTAGAAAACAGGTTTGCATTAGAAAACAGAAAACAATTATTGTAAATTATTTATATTTACCCGTTCATATTCGTTCCATACACTTTTTCTTTCATCTTCAGTTAAGTCTTCTTCAGGGCGATTTTCTAAAAGCGAATCATGTTCATGATCCTTTACAATCAGATCTTTATGGCTGACAATTAAGTCTGCTAAAAGTCGATCTTTAGGTACATTGAGAATCGGCCTTTCCTCTCTAGTATCAGGTTCGAATTTATACAATTCTTGAAGTTCTTGAGCTCTAAAGTTGCGACCTTCTTGAAGTTGTTTCTTTACATTTGATACATAGTCTTTGAATAATGGAGTTGTCTCCAAGTTGATGGGAAGATTGGCACTCGTCATTACAATTCACGAACTAAAGAAAACGAAAAACTGACAAAAAAATAGCTTCAGTCTGTCAAAAAAAACAAAATAATTGAAATCAATTAATTAGTTTCAAGTTGAAACTTTCAACCCCAAGTTTCCCTTCTGCGCAAGATCGCCATGCAATATCATTCAGCGCGAATTTCAGTTTGACAGTTTTTGAGTGATATTTTGAAATAATATCATTGTTTTCATAAGTTAAATTATTTGATTTACCAGTATAGTATTAATCAATAGATTATAAATTAGAAAGAACTCTAAATTTTGATGAATTGTGTAGAAAAGTAAAAGTAATTTTTTAGCTGCGTGGCTAATTGGCAATTTTTGATTAATGTTAAAAATTGATTGTGTGGTTGTGCTTTTAAACGGCAAAGCTCATGAAGGTTAAATTAATAATCAATCCTACAGAGGTTTTTGTGGTAACTCGATTAATTTACAATTAATTTTAATTTACATTTACTCCCCACTGACAATCCTTGAGTATTTAGCTATCAATGTGACAATCAAAGTGTCAGAATTTTTAAAGGTGACAAAATACATGTAAGTTTATTGGTTAAAATTTTGGTGATAAATCAAATGAAATGAAGAGGAAGGTAAATGGTTAAAGCGTTAATTTTACATCTATTAATGATACAAAAGTAAATACAATGTTTTTCATTGATGAGTACAATTAGTTTGTTTACAGCATTTTTATGTACACAGGTTTTGTCAAATTCAAACTACATTTAATCATTCAGCGATTTAGTGCAATTCACTGAATCCTTGATTCTATTGATTTTGTTTGATTGGCTTGAAGATTATTCCTTTGATCATTTATCCTCGTAGCGATTGAACAATTGAGCGAGGAAAGGAAATCTTTTCGTGAAAATCTCTTGGAAATGACATTGGAAATTGAATTCAATGATTTAGTTGAACATAAATTGTGAGTTGATGAAAGCAGTTGAAAAATACATTGGTTACAGTGGTTAAACTTTTGGCATGGACATCACTTCAACGGTAACAATGTCTGTGAAGGAAAATAAAGAGAGAGAAAACATGATTAACCATTAATTGATCTAATTTATCATTAATTTACATGAAGCTGGTGAGCTATTAAAGCACAAATATTAGCTTAATGATCAAGCAGCATGAAATAATGTTGAGACAACTAATAAGTGACAAGAAATGAAAAGCATCAACAAAAGCCTAACAGTAATACAAAATTGGTTAGAAAGCAAATGAAGCGTATTGTGAAGCAGCATTAAATTGAAGCAAATTTTGATGATTAATAAATTAACTAGCTAATTAATATGGAGGTAAACAAGTTGATTTAGCAAATTAAAGCAGCAAAATAATGGATAAATCATTTGATTTTTACCAGTAACCAGATTCACAATCACTATTGATCATAGGATCACCATCTTCTGGTTCAGTCATGGGTAAACCAGAGAATTGGGTTTGAACTGTGAAACAATAATAATCGGTCAATATTGAAGATAATGATGGAAACGATCAAATTAACTGTTAAATCATAGATAATCGAGATTTTCAAGATACTTTGTTGAATTGTAATAACTTACAAAAATGTTCACCTGAGTAAAACACTTCAATTATATTGAAGATTGTGCTATTAATCACAGTAGAGAATCAGGTAAAATCAATAAGAACTTACTTTTATCCCGATTCGATGGGATATCATCATTGATGTAAACCTTTTTACCAGCAAGATGTTTATATGTTTGATAAACGACAGCCATCACAACACAAACACCGAGCATAGAGAAGGCATAAAGGAATGGGAAAAGCCAAACTTTCCGTAATTGCTAAAGATGGAAGTAGAAAGGAATTAGTAAGATTCAGACAAATAATCAACTATTGAATTTCGTAGACTAAATAATTACCTCGAATGGATATGATAGAGAAACAATGGCCAAAGCAGTTCCAACATTTTGAACTCCACATTCAATAGCAACAGTCCTTCGAGAGGCATATGGAAGTGAAAAGATTGAAGCACAACCAAAACCTAATGCAAGACCAAGAACAGGTAATGCTACTTCGGCGATATATAGTTTAGCTGGAATATCATCGAAAATATCGGGGAAAATCATGACTTCCATGGCTTCACAGACAATGATGATCAGGAAACCGGCAATACTACCAAACTTGATTGGTGAGAGTAGAAGCGGAATTAATAACTATTGAACTTATTCAAATATATTGACCAGGACTTACTTTGGTTAAAAATGGAGCGACCTTCGGCCATTTCCAGAAGACAATCATTCCGAAGAGAACTGGAAGTGTTAGGAAGAACAGTGAAGTTGTCATGCTAGCGTAAGGAATAACAATTGTATCAGATTCAAGAGATCGTCCATACAGCCAAATATTGAAAGGCATCATCACAAGAGCCGCGATTGTGGATATTGAAGTCATTGTAACACTGAAAACAGACATTGCATTCATGGTTATTCAGTTACTGAACTTGAAATTCAATAATTACCTTAATGAGACATCGCCATCACAGAAAAATGTGAATATATTGGAAGTAACTCCTCCTGGACTTGAGGCCAAAATGAGGAGACCAGCAGCATGCAAAGGGTCAATAGCAAGTACATGGACCAAACAGTAAGCTGAAAACGGTAACAATAAAAACTGACTGATCATTCCAGTCAATATTCCGTATGGTCTGCGAACATGGTTCCAAACCTAGAAAGATTAAGATGTTTTCAACAATCAAACGAAATAAAAGACAAAATTAGTACTTATTTTGTAATATTTTGAGATTAAAGAATTGATGAATTAAGCTTCTGATTAAAGCCTTACACTCAGCGAGACTATCAAACATAATTTGAGCGATCATCTTAAGATGATCAATTCAGCCAAGAAATATTTTTCAATATTAAAATAATTAGTCGAAATTTTTAGAAATATTAATTCAAAGCAAATAAAAATTGAATAGTCATTATTGTATCAGATTTTGAATTGGATGAAAAAAGTACATTTCTGACCTTGCCTTTACTGTAATACAAAAGGAACCTTAAAATCAAAGGAAGACGAGATTTTTTTGTGTCTGTAAACTGTATTGACTGGTACTTGGGATGTTACATTATGATGAACACCATGATTCCGATTGAACATTTAACAGGACAAGGTCGATTAACCAAAATCCGATTAACCAGCTTTCAAACGGAAAACAAGACAAAAATTAACATCATTGACCCGCTCTCAGCTTCCTGATGTAATACTCAGCAACTTTAATCAGATTTCAATCTATGATTTAGATAATTCAATTGATTCGGTTTATTGATTAATCTTGATCATTCATTTGTAATTAATAAAAAACACTTTTGCTTTTACCTGTAAAAAATCAACTTAAATCAACCTTTAACCGCATTATTGTTTAAAAACAATTTTGATTCTCTAGATTTTAGGATAAAGCCGGGATTAACCTTTAATTTTTCCTTTTGTTTTAATTATTTCCTTCATTTCAATTAACACTTTACTGGTCACTCAATTAGTATGTAAATCAACTAATAATCAATCAGATAACTATTCAATTAAAGCAAATCTTTGCGTATTTAAGTTTGCCTGAGAAATCTGTTCACCAGATCTTAACCAGTTTTGTCGGTCAAAAAAACCTCAACACAAACCTTTAACCGTTTTCATTGTAGATCAAAATGGATTTCATTTTTAGGAAACTTGACCTTTCATTGAAGCTCTCAACAAATTAACGCCAATTAATAACCAATCCGAACAAATGATCAATCAAATTTGGTAAATCAAAAATACACTGTTAAATCAAGGCAGAGCAAATTGTCAAAACTAGAGATGAAAAGCTCAGCATGCATTGCATACTAGTCTTACAGAGTTAAACAAACAGATTGAAATTTTGTTGACCATTGAATTTGGTTCCTTCCTAAAAAACATTTTAACATTTGGTTAGTTTAAATCATCTTGATCAGTGCGACAATCAAAGATATCAAAAATCAAAACATGTTGAAGCTACTTCTAGCAATATTGATCATCAGTGTTAATTTATTGAAAGCCAATGAGTTTAAATTTCCAAGTGAACAAGATTTTGATTTTGTCGAAGATTTGATTGACCAATGGAAAGGTGAAAGACAATTAAAAAGTGAACCCAAAGGGATTGTTAAAATAGGCTCTTATGCTCCATCATCAACTCGCCTCGTTGAATCAGTTGACTCAGCTTATCCAGAAGGATATTACCAACAACCACAAAATCATGATCTAATGAGTGTCAAACAATATCAACCTGAATCTCAATATTCAAGTGTCAACTCTTATGGTCAACCAATGGTACATTTAGCCTATCCTGAGCCCAACTATTACCGTCCCCATCCTCATCAAGTAACTGATCACCATTATTATCATCATAGCCATGGATCACACCACCATGAAGCAGACGATCATCATAAACATGAAAAAGAAAGTTCTACTTCAACCAGTCAACCAATAGTCCGTCAACAAACAGTTGACACTGCTCAAAGAGTCGTTCAATACGTCCCATTAGCAGTCAATCCTAGACAAACAAATCGCAGTCCAACTACAAGTCCCTGGTTATGGTCGTTGCTTTTCATTATCATCTTTCCAACTCTTTTAGGAGCCATTTTGCTTCCATTGGCTTTGGTTTTCCTAACCAATGTTGTCTTTGTCTTGTTAATGCTTCGTAATAACAATCAGGCAACAATCATTCCTAACAATCAAAATACACTTAAATCACGCTCATTAGTTGATTCTTTTCACTTGGACGAAGAAATGGTTAACTTTATATTTAAACTTATTCGTAAAGCAGAAGCAATTTATGGACAATCAAGTCTCTATTGAAATATATTTCATTGGACATTTCCAACCAGTTCTTAACCTTTAAAATAAAGCTAAATGAAGGTCCATCATGAGACAATGACAATTATTAGACAAGTTGATGAACGTGTTAATGGTAATTTTAAGGTCGTTAATCAAATAAATTATCTGAACAATCTCAGCCAAATGGTTAAACCAGAGTATAAGATGATATAATAAACCTGCAACTGAGTTGACTTGTAACTGTCCAAGGACTTGAGATCGTTTCACCATCAAGGTGAACAATAAGTGTTAACTGTTTAAAGGTAGAAGCCAATTAAGAAATTACAATTTGTAAATAATAGTGATATTAATATAATAATCTGTTATATTCTGTCTACTGTTTTTTTTCGGTCTCAATGTTGATAAAATAGTGAAAAAAGATGATTTCAAGAAAGATTGAAAGAGGCCAAGAACATTAAAGATTTGGTTAATTGTGATTGTTTAAATTCATTTCTGGTTTCAATTTAACTTCCTAATCCTTAATTTGGTTCTCGGTGAGGGTCAGGTTATTCAACGTTCATTGGTTATTTAATTAATGTCTAAAATGGTGGTCAATCTTAATCTAGTGTAACTTGCAAAAACCTGGTCAATGAAAACCAAAAAATATCTGCTTTACTTAATTATGGCAACTTTTGTATTTAGTTGAATTTAAATTAAAGACGCTTTAATTGTGCAATTATTTGTTCATTTCGATCTACAATTTATATTATCAATTTTACTGTTTAAGTACCGTTTATTACTTTCAACATTGGTTTACCATGTTATCCGTCTGTGGAAACTTCGCACTACTGTTGGCTCAAAATAACCATAATTGTGTGAGAGTCACCCAACAATTTGTTTGAAAAATAAATTGCCTGTAAATGCAATCATTTTTACAGCAAATTTAGAAGAAGAATCAGAGAAATTCAAATGTAAAAATGCTTGAAAAGGAATCAACGAAAATCGATTTAGCATTGAATTGCTCATAAAACGCAAAGACTTACAAGTTTACCTAATAATGATGTCTAAAGCGAAACATGTTGGGACGAAAGCAAAAAAAATTGCTCTAACAATTCGGGGACTCGAAACACCCAGTTGATTGTGATGAGGATCGACCAACCCTAGGTTTGATTACTCTTTCAACTCATCAATTAACAATAGGAATCATAAATTTCCATCAAACTGTGTCTCTTTATATTCAAAATAAGAACTGAATAAGACTTTTAGAGGCGTGAAAAAGCCCAAACCTAAGAAATTATTGGACATCAAAGCAGTCGAAATACTTCAAACTAACAATTTGACTATTTACAAGTTTATCTAATTAAATAGCTATTAATTTAAATAGCACCGACTATGGCTAACCTTCAAATTTGATGCTAAAAATGAATCGCACAATGAAAATCAAATATCAATTGGAAATGATTAACATAGGATTTTGGTTAAGGACTGTTAAAAATAAAGCAAAGCGACCCTTGGCTATAACAATGGATACTTGAGATTATTGTTGCTTTCATAATTAAGATTTACTCTTAACTTTAAATCTTATGATCTAATGGACAGTTTACGGTTAACTTACTTCTTCCAATGTAATTGAACATCCCATGGCAAACATGACTGCAACAAGAAGAGTTGTGATCAAGTAATCATGAATCGTTTTCAATAGAGGAGGTCCAACTGGAGCAATGGCCATAGTCCGGACACTTTCCGAGCCATTGAGAAAGGCCGATGAAACATTTAATAAAGATGATTCAGTGAAGAAACTAGGATTGGACATGATTTAACTGTAATTGAATTCGACAATGGAAACAACTTGAGAACAAACTGGTTAAAGAATTGATTCAATTGTGATTTAACACTATTAACAATCCTGTCCAACTGATGAATCGACTCAAATGATTAACTGATGCAAAAGACTCACAGGTAAAGTGTCTTTAAATAAAATTCAAGTTTACTCACTTTCATTGATATCAAAACAAAATACAGTTGATAGACAGTTAATGCATTAAATGAAAAAAACACGTTAATTCTCACTTTTACTCCCTCTCACAATTGAATCAACCCACCTAGTTAATACGTATAAAGAGAGTCGAGTGAATTAATAGCAACTACAATTAACCTTTAACAGCACAAGACAATCGAAATATTATCGGACTCTTAAGGTCACCTAAACATCATTAGAAAGTCAAAAAAAGTGTACATTTCTCTTCCTTCCTCAACATCATCAACCTGGACAGAGACTCTTAAACCATTAGTTACTCATCAACCCTTGACCCAATATTGGACTCACTTTCATCTGTTTTTAATGTATATTTATATACAATTACTTTAAATGTGAATTGTTGCAAAAAAAGCAATCAAAGTCCAGTTGATTGTCAAGATCACCGTAACAATGCAAACAAAAAATGAGCTTCCGAAATTCAACATTCGTCCTTTTTTCAAATTATGAGTTCCATTTTAAATTACAATTTTTTGTCTTCCTTATTGTCAGCCAATTATTAACTAACATATCAATTTATTAATTTTGGAATTGATTTAAAATATTTCCGGTCAATCATGAAAACCTTGATGCCTTGAATCAACTTGTTACAATAAGCATGTAATATTGCCTATTATTACAAACCTCATCATTATTCACTTTATAATTCAACAGTACAGTTTAATTTTAAATTGATATCGGAAGCGTATTTTTTCTGGTCTTTGGTTTACACCAACAATTTGAATCTTCATCATTGACCATGATAGTCAAGGGATGATTAGAGGGATAAATTGTGGTCAAGGCTTAGACTTTCAGTTTAGGTGGCTTTTGGTTTGGGTTAGATACTGGTGAAGAAGAGACCAGAATCGGGTTTTCAATTGATTTACATTATCGCCAAGGTTTTTGATTGTTTCTTTATTAACCATAATCTTGATCATAATCCATATCAACTCATTGATCAACTAATCCTTTTGGATGATTGGTTAGTGTTAATATACAAATTATTGGGTTAATTTGGTAAACCTTCACTATTGTACTTTTAATAGGAATCGCAATTTTGATGGGTTTTGCTGGTTTTTATTATCTTTTTTCCCATTAATCGTGAGAAATTGAACCTTTTAATCCATCTTGGGTCAGGGATTTTAATTTATTCATTGATTACCATTTTGATTAAAAAATCAAAATGATGAACATTTCTGAGAGGAAATTGATTTAACTTTACTGATCTATTCAAAGGTTTAGGTATTAACAAATTACTTGCAAGTGATTTAAGTGAAATGTTAATTGAAAAGTCGCATTACCATTGATAAGTAGTTTCATTTACATCTGAATTATCAACAGGATAAATTGTTGATTAATATTATTTTCAATCTCAATTGTTGATAAACTTGTTGTACAATTAGATTCAGTTGTTTGGTGAAAGAGCAATGAACAGGCAGTTTTGATCAAATTGACTGCCATTGACTTAAATAATTAGTATCACACACTTAACCAGAAACTTGAAGTAAAACAATAACATTATTAATTGTTAACATAAAGAAACAATTATCTTTCAAATAAATGATGCAAAAGTAATTGTTCATTTAATTTACCTTTTATGCTAAAATTGACAATATGTAATCAGAAATGTATACAAACTGTGAAATGCCGAGTCGATTAAACAATAATCATGAAAACATATGATTAGTTATGAGCGTAGGAATTATACAAATTCATACCAATCACAATTGTTTGGGTAAAAGTGAAAGAAATTAGAATACAAATCACAAAAATTGATTAATGAATTAGGTGATGATGAAAAAGCACAAAAAGAGGATTTTAATGATTAATGTTAAACATTCACTGATAGGAATCATAATTAAAAGATGTTCATGAATCATAATACACAAATGATGAGGTAAACAAATGAAGGTTATTGATTACTCTTTACATTCAAATGGTAATATCGCGTAGTAGGTGATCAATTTGCTCTAATGAACAACATCATCAACAGATTTTCAACATTATTTCGTTTTTTTTTCAATTATTCATCTGAAGCTGGTTTCACTTGAGAATGGATAGTTGAGGAAAATTTTGTTTACTCAGAACTAATTTTATCAGATTTACAATCTATCCACTGATCCAACATTTTAAGCAAATGTATTGGTGCTGAGAAATTGTTGGATTTGCAACAAAAACATGGCAAGATCATGAAATAATTTTAAGTCAAAGATGAGTAACGAAGGATTTTTGGGTAAAATTTTGCCGATTCATGGTCTGGTTCTGACAATTTTCACACTTGACATGGCATTTGAATTGTAAGACTAGAAGAAACTGAATATAAAACATTTCTTGGTGGGCACAAGACATCACTTTCAAGATATAGATACTTGAAGATAAATTAATTGTCACCTGATTTAATCTTTTACATGAGACTGATTCATTTGCCGTTTTATTTGAATTTGATGAGATTGTTGAAGAGCTTCACATTGTGATTGCGCCTTAACAGCAATTGTTGATTCTTGATGAATTCAAAAATACATACATTTGTACATTTTTGTAAACTAATGTTCAGTCCTTAAGTTAGAAGCATTTTATATTTTTAATTTCTGATTCTAGGATGAATAAAATGGTAACAGTCTAGTTATACGGACACAAAACAATAACAAAGGCTTTAATTGAGGCCCCAGGCCATCCAAGCCCACCCGAACCTAACCAAACCTAACCTAACCTAACCTAATCTAACCTAACCTAACCTAGTCCGACCTAGAGCGCGATAATAAACGATTATTTATTTGAATCTATAGCACTGTTTATTATATGTGTCCGTGTAACTAGACTCTCACCAATAAAATATTCATTTTACCATTTAAAGACCCATGTCAGGGTTCATTCATGTTTACCAAGTTTATCATAGCAGATATTACCCAGGACTTGGATCTATTCAATCTCAATTTTACGTTTCCCTTTGAATCTAATGAGAGTCTCATCCCCTTCTAACCTCATTATTCTGATTAATTTAACTTTAATAATTAACTACCATTGATCATAATTAATAAAATTGATGTTACGAGAAAATAAAATTTATTTTTTAGATTTCGATGGTCGATAGATTTAAGTTAAGGATCGATTCAGAGAGTTTAGGCGATTATCGATTCAATCGATGGATCATTTCAAAATATAAATCAACCGGCCGAGGTTATTTCCCGCTCAAAGCTGTTTTTATTGTCATTGCTCTATTTTATTTTGTGTCTTTTGGCATTTTATATTTAGTCCTGAATCTTATTATTTAGCCTATTCTTGAAATATACTTTCCTGTCAAATTTTAATCATGAATTTAAACGGTGGTTTAGATGGTGAACGGATCTGTAAATACATCACTCGTCGCCCTGACAAAGATTGTGATCAAGAAAAAAGAGTTCCTGTTTATGGAAACCTAGTGTTTGAAGATGATTGTCCTCATATTATTCATAGTTATCCCGTGGCCTACAAAGATTACATCATCGGTCGAGAAAAAACGTCTCATTTGAGAATTACTTCTCCCATTGTGTCAAGGCTGCATTGTATTATTAGCTGTGAAGATGGTAATCCTATCTTGATCAACAAATCGGGATTAAATGGTACCTATGTTGAAGGAGAACCAATTGCAACTAAAACTAAATTAATAGATGGTGTTGTTATCAAGATTGGTATGCATTCATTCCGTTTCGATTCCGTCGACTCTGATGATACCGTTCTTGAAGAGAAGAAAGATCCAATGATGTCTCCAATGAAGCGAGAAAAGGGTAACCTCAAAGTTACCTTTGAAAATGGTGTTGACTCAAAGCATGCGGAAGAACACCAAGAAGCCCTTGAAGAAGCAAAGTTTGCAATCGCAAAAGAAGAATCTATTGAAAAACCTGAACCCATTGAAGAACCTGAACCAGTTGAGGAATCTGAACCAATCGAAGATCCTGAACCCGAACCCGAACCCGAAGCTGAACCTGAACCAAAGAAAAAAGCGACAAAAAAAGCACCAGTTGCCAAAAAAGGACGCAAAAAGGTTGCTTGTAGTAAGAGAACTGCGAAAGTAGAGCCTGAGGAAGATCATGAAGAAATAGAAAAAGGGTCCGAACTAGAGATGGAACAAGAAGCAGAAAAAGCACCAGAAATAGAACCACAAAAAGATGCAGTTAACGAGTTGGAGAAAGAGCCAGAATCTAGTTCAGAAATAGAGCAAGAACCTGAGCCAGAGCCAGAACCGAAACGCGAGGAGAAGCTTGAACAAGAACCAGAAAACGGATCAGAGCCAGAGCCAGAGTCAGAGACAGATCAAAAATCAGAACTAGAACAAGAACCTGAGCAAGAAAAAGAGCAAGAGCCAGAACAAGAAGATGAACAAGAGGCAGAACATGAACCGCAGTCTGAGTCAGAGCCCGAACCCGAACCAAAACAAACAAAACAAAAAGTAAAACGAGAAACGAAAAAAGTAACGAAAAAAGTGACAAAAAAAGCAAAAAAAGAGCCAGAGCCTGAACCTGAGCCTGAACAAGAAGATGAACAAGAGGCAGAACATGAACCCGAGTCAGAGTCAGAGCTCGAACCAGAACCAGAACCCGAACCAAAACAAACAAAACAAAAAGTGAAACGAGAAACGAAAAAAGAAACGAAAAAAGTGACAAAAAAAGCAAAAAAAGAGCCAGAGCCTGAGCCAGAGCCTGAGCCTGAACAAGAAGATGAAGAGGCAGAACATGAACCCGAGTCAGAGTCAGAGCCCGAACCAGAACAAACAAAACAAAAATTGAAACGAGAAACGAAAAAAGAGTCAAAAAAAGAAGCAAAAAAAGAGCCAAAGAAAGAAACAAAGAAACCAGCAAAAAAAGAGACGAAACAAGAGTCCAAAGCAAAGTCTAAATCAGGAGCTAAATCTGTTCCTAAAGCAGAATCTAAAGCAGATACTAATGGCGAAGTGAAAGAAGAGCCTAAGCCAGAAGTTAAACGTTCAACGCGAAATAAGAAAACATTCCAAGACAATAATGAACCTTCGGCGATAAGTGACAATACGAATAAAAAACCACGTCGTAAAGCTACAAAGTCCAAGCTGGTGGACGAAGATGGAGACAAACAAGAGGCTACACCGCCAAAGAAGCCTGCCAAACCGGTAGAAGAAGAAAACAAAAGACCAACTCGAGCTCGCAAGGCCAAAGTATTAGATTGAAGAGATAGTTAATGAATCACGGTTTATTCAATATTTAATTTTGTAATACACCAAATATTGTCATTGGTTTTACATTTCCTCTCCTTGTAAAAGTTTTTAATCCTCAAGTTTTCGAGGGACATTCTTTAAATAAATCATCCTAAATTTTCTTCGCACTTGTTTAATAAGCATTCATTTTCTATAATACTGATTTCTCAGATAAGTTTCAAATGATGAAATATCACCATTAAATTACAAGTAAATGATAAAACGATAGTAAGTTTACAATTTACGCGATCATTATTTTCTATATTGATAAAAAAACAGATATTTGACGTAGGTGATGGTTTAATTGAATTGATTGAAAATCAGAGAAACACGAAGATTTCCCGGATTCTTATCAGTTATGAAATGAATGCGGATACACATGAAAAAAATGGAAAAGAGGAACAATGGAGTCCTGAAATATTTCATTTCTCAGACATAACTTGGTCTTCTATGAAATCTCCTCCTTCTCCACCGTTTTCATTGGTTTTGGGTGGTGAGGCAGAATGGGAGCGAGATCTTGAACGTTCGCGAGACCTTGAGCGGGATTTTGTGTTTTTGGAATGAGACCTTGATCGTGATCGTGAACGTGATCGCTTATCACTTCGACGACTTTCAGCACTCCTTGAACGAGAGCGGGAGCGGGATTCTTTCACATGTGCAGACTTGCTCCTGCTTCGACTTCGTTCCCGGCTTCGATCTCGAGATCGAGACTTGCTGCGTGATCGAGATTTTGATCGTGATCGGGATTTGGAACGTGATCGTGACTTGGAGCGTGATCGAGATCGGGACCGAGATCGCGATCGTGAACGAGATCGGGAGCGAGACCTAGACCGACTACCCCTGTAAATAAAACAAAAAGCGTTAATAGAGTTCAAATAACAATAATGACAAGATGACTTACTTTCGTCGGCGGCTCTTGTCCTCTACAAGCCTTATACGACGACCATGAAGATCGACTCCATCAAGCTTGTCTAAAGCTTGTTTCATATCAGCATAAGTGGCGAAATCAACAATACTGTGGATAATAATGGTAAAAAGAGATTAGATATCATTCTAAAACAGATTAAAAGATCAACTTACCCCATATTTCTTTCTCGTTTATGCGCATCAGCATAAGTGACTTCTCCAGCTTGACGCATGAAGTCTTTCAAGTCCTATAACAAAAAAATAGATATTAGATGTGAAAGTAGACACAAATGAGATGGTTTATCCTTGCAATGTAACAAACGAAGATTAATGTTAAAAATTGTTTCAATGTAGACTCAATATGAGATGCATTTTAAAATAATGAACTTGAGAACCCTGCATAAGAAAGATTATCTCAAAAAACCAGCCACTAAATCAAGTTAAAAATGTATTAATAGCGTAATAAGAAATTGGTTGACCCTTGGGAAGAGATTAAAATATCCTTAGTATTCTCGACAGTTTAGGTTCAAAGAGTAAATGAGATTCTCTTTACCTTCTTGTATAACACAATTCATAATGAGCATAAAGGTAACCAAATTCAAAGCGTTCAACGACTGGTCTAGTGACGACAATGCAATGAAGCACAGACACCATCAAAAGGCTAAAAGGTAGAGTAGAGGTACCAAAGGAGAGACCGAGCCAAACGTTTGCGTTGGTAACATGTTGATCGTTCCCTCACATCATAAACTGGTAAACCTCGACTAATTTATCAAGGGATAAAAATTTCGAAAACAACCATACCTGCCAGCTGACCCGGCTGCTGAGATTTTCCACGATCACTCGATACTCGGTGTTCCTTGGGGGGCCATACCTAGAGTTAGAGACATTTTTGGATCCACGATTAGAAAGAAAGAAGAAAGTTTGCTAGATCATTTGCCGGGAGATTTTATGTTGCTGAAATAAAAAATTAATAATATACAGGAAAGTTTCTTACTTCTCGGCGTAGGTTAGTCCACCAGAAGGTCTGTCACTACGACTATTTGAATAATAAGGTCTTGATGACCCATAAGGCCTAAAACGAGCACGTCCTCGTGATGGTCCTCTGGCGAATTCAACATGCACTCTGAGAAAGAAATAAAGGATTAGTAAAACATACGCATGGAAAAATTGGAAAATTGGAATGGAATATTTGATATTTACCTTTCGCCCATAAGTTCTTTACCATTTAAATCATATACTGCATCATCGGCATCCCTGTGGTCATCAAATTCCTGAAAGAAATATAAGAGGGGCGTTAACATATACCCAAACGACATACAGGAAAAGCATGCTAAAAATACATCTAATGATGTAGTATATAGAGCAAAATTGGCTAAAACTAAGTTTCAGATTTAGAATATCTTCACCGTAGAACATCAGTCCCGAAAGATGGTTAAAATAAAAGTGATCATCATTTAAAGAAATAGCCAATTCAAATAAAAGGGGGAAAATTACTTACCACAAAGGCGAAGCCATCTTTCATCAATATTTCTCGTATTCTGCCATATCCTTTGAAAAATTTTTCAATATCACGCTCTCTAACATCATAATGAAGTCTACCTACGTACACTCGTGTACCCATTGATGATTTATACACAAAATACAATTAACGATCAAAATTTATTTTAAAATAAAGATGATTAAGAGATGAACCTAAATACTGAACTCAAAAAATAGGGAAACAGAACCTAGTAATATTTTATTTTAAAGTACATCCGTTTCCGTATTGTTGCTTAGCAATTGTTTCTGGTAAGCTTTACCTTAACCGCCAAATTCAATTTTTGCCTAAATTGGGTTCAAAGTGATCAATGAAAATCCCTTTCGTATCGACTCCATTTTTAAAACTAAGGTCAGTATTAAAAGTAAAATAGCCAGCATGATTGTAATGGATAAAAGTCATGAATGTGTTTATCTTGAGCAGTTGATTGTGCAAAAATATTTATTCTGATTACACAGCTTTACTTGAAAACAAACAAACATTTAATGTCTCTTCAAATTGAAGAGCTTTAAATTGTTTATAAATCAAAAACACATTTGTCTCAAAATAGCAAATAAATTCAATTTGTTCAGATTTAAATGGAAAAATTGAGTTGCAATGTAAATAAAATTCAAGGTTTGTTTCACTTTTACCTCTCAAGTCTATGAAAATCACAAGAGTTTAGCATTGACTGTTTTTACAATTAAGAAATGAGAAAGTGAAAAGTGAAAAATGGAAACTTATCATAATTTGAAATTGCACTCACAATGTGTATCAAGGGCAATTTAAATGGAGTTAATTAAATGAAAACCAAACAAATGTTGGATCAATCATAATACGTAAATAATAAGGGGAAATCTGATTAAAATGATGTCTACTGAGTCACAATACAAGAAGGGTAAAGATATGAAACAATTATAACGTCAATTAAGGCATTACACATAACCAATTAATTTGATGGTTAAACAATGATTCAATGAATTTAATTGAAAACCATATAAATCGAGAAATAAGTTTACATTGATTTTGCGTTTTTTCCTCACAAAAATAAGGATAAATGAAAAAACAAAAGCAAATTACACATTGTCCTTATTAATTAGCTTTCACCTCGACACATTAAATACGGAAGCTACTTGAAACGTCTCCCGATCATAATTTGGGTATAAAAAGAGACGATATTTCATCAATCAGCATCACAATTGAAATCGTTTCATTTCAACCAACTTAAATACTTATATTTATTTGATTCCCAATCACCTTTACTTAGCCACCACCATAAAAATGTCTGCCGTTGAAGTTGCTGCCGCTGCTGTTGATCCTTGCTGCGAGGATACTCATTGTGAAGACACAGTTTGTGAAACTGACAAATGCCATGAACATCCATGCGATGAGAAAGATGCTGGAGGCCATTGCCATGAAGAATCCCACCCATCTGAGGATCAGTGTGAACACCACGAGAAAGAACCAGCCAATTGAACAATTGGATATGCAAATGAAAGACTAATCTGAATTAACTGATGTTTCCTTTTCATCATGATCCGTGTTTCCTTTCAATTTATCCCTATGTAATCAGTATTTTAAAACATTGAGAATAAAGATTTGCTTTGATTCAATCAGTCTGTCAATTTACTAATCATTTCAATCTGATTTACAACAGCTGTTTGTAAGTCAATGCATCAATCAACTAAGCTACTGTAAAGCTGGAATCAATGAAATAACAAATCATGTTAGTGTAATAATAACGTGTAGTAGTGATTAACCTTTAATTGTCTCCAATAACACATATATTACGATGTTTAAGTGAGACTTTGGATAAAATAATGTCCATAAACTCAGATTCTTTTGGTCTCAAAATTGTTAAGTTATCTTTGTATTCAGTGAAACTTGAGTCAGATTGGTTACCACAATATCGGTCGACTTTTGTGACATTTCTGAGCTTCTAACGACTTCTTCTTGTGCGTCCTTAACATATTACTCATCTTAATGTCCTGCAAAATAAAAAAAATGTTTAAAGATAGTTGTTATGGTAAATCGTTTGCTGGAGATTTTTGAATAAAATTAAGTAAAATATTATAATACAGACAAGGAACAAGATTTTTAAAGTCTCATCAAGTGGGACTTTATTAGACTGGACATTATTTTGGTTTATCATTAAGAGTAATCACGAGTATTAATGAAATCTGGACATCCATATGACAAGCAATTATTTTGTTTACTTTCTAGAATCACTGTCTTTTTTAATTAGCCTGTAGCAAGAGAATGTAAAATAGAGAGATTAGATAATTTGAAAAAGACCAATCACAATAATTTGAAATTATTTCAAGGGTATCAGAGGATACCTGAGCATTAAAGTTAAAACATGCAAATTGAATAATGATGACAAAATCCAGATAAATCTGCTTCAATAATGATTTTCCCAAACTTACCATTAAAAACAGGTAATCCTCTTTGAAATCTAGTCACCAAATCCAGATAATGTACATGTAAATCCACCAAAAAGATCAATTCTCAAACATTTCATGAAAGATGAAGCATTTGTTACACTGGTGCGAGACATTTGCTTAAATACAGTCCATTTGTGCGGTTCTTTGTCTCTGTAACCAAGCGAATCAATTACAAACTAACAATTAAGACAAGTTTCTTTGCTATGAAATATTTAGTGTCACTTGTAACATTATCTAATCATTTTGATCTCTCACTATTTTCAGTCTCACTCTTCATTTCATCTCACACAATCTCTCTTTTTTCTGATTTCTAACATGTTTTAATCAGTAATATACTTGACTTGTTTTTGGAGAAAATCATTTTCTTAGTCTTTTTGACCTTCTTTTCAATTCTTACTCATCTTATATTTTGTTTTTCTTTCGGTTTGAATTGATCGGTTCAAACTTGCCGCAGTTTTTTTCAAATGACTTATCTACTTGAATCTTCACCTTTACACAATCCAATTTTACATTTAACGGACCAAAAGAAGCAAGAAAAGGTAACAACAATTTAATTTAATTTTCCTCCTTCTCTCTTTTTTTGGTTGACAGACTTTTGATTTATCCTATGACTTATTTGTTGTTGTTTTTTTGTCGCAAATAATGGTTGTTATTGTCTTTTTTCTGTTTTTCTGTTAGGCAAATGAAATTATATCACAGTTCAAACTAACCAAAAACCAGTTGGACAAAATTAGAGAAAAATTTCTCTATGAAATAAACCTTGGATTAAATGAACCCTCAAAAGCTGGAACCAAAGAGTGTTCATTGTACATGATTAACACTTTCATAACATCTCTTCCCAATGGTAAAGAAGAAGGTGATTTCCTTTCGTTGGATTTGGGTTCAACCAATTTTCGTGTTTGTCTTTCAACATTGGCAAATCAACAAGACCAATTTAACGTGAAGTACTATGATATTCCTGATGCTATGCGAACAGGCAATGCTGAAACGGTTAGTGGAATTTTATTTCTTGTTTGTGTGCTGTTATTGTGTTAAAAATTGGTCCTCGCAAATATCACTTTCAAGCTTCATGAATAATTTCATTTCAAGATTTCTTAAAGTCGATTGCAAAGTTCATTTAAAATTTGAATTCGTTTAGATATCTTTTTACCTCTACTTCTTTTACTAATTCTACTAATTCAAGGTGATGCCTCTCATACCAGATCACACCAGATACTCTCATGTAAGATCAGGTTTAACTGATGAGTTTTCTATTAGGTTTAAAGTAAGCTTACCCAATACTGATTAATCTATTGCTAGCAACATGATTTTTCCCATCTTTCGCTTTCCATTCCAAGGCTATCCATATTGGAAGACGTCACGAGACATCTTTTTGATTCAAATCGATAATTATATAACCCCCTGACTATCTTGATAACCTTGAGGATAGCCGTCATTCATATTCACCTTGCTACTAGCCGATCTTTTCATGATCCTGTCAAAAATTTTCATATTATCATTGATAAGTCTATCAGTACTTGTATCGCAAACTTCTGGTGTTTTTTCTTTATAAACCAAAACATTTGAAATGCTAAAATGTAAGAAATATTAATCGTTGTCGTTATCTCATAAAATTTTCTTACATTTTTCTGATACCTTTTTCGTCTAATGTTGATAATTTCATAATGATTGTCTTAATAAAATAATAAAATGTTTCATTGATGAACATTTCTATTTAATCCACCACATTAATGATATATTATCCTTTTTCATTTCAGTTGTTCAATCATATCGTGGAATGCATAGATAATTTTATGAATGATTATCCAAAACTCAAAGAAAAAAACTTGTTGCTTGGTTTCACCTTTTCATATCCAATGAAACAAGAAAGCTTAAATGTTGGAAAATTGGTTACATGGACTAAAAGTTATGATATTAAAGATGCCATCGGTCAAGATGCTGCTGCGCTGCTTCAAAAAGCTATCGATCGTAAGGTGATTGGGAATACAATTGCAATTCAAGAGAAAACCTTCATTTAATCAGTTATCTATATTGCTTTGATACATTTTTCAGGGACTTAAAATCAATGTAGCAGCTATTTTAAATGATTCAAGTGGTACTTTGGTGAAAGGTATTTATCTGGATCAAGACTGTGGAGTTGGTGTTATCATGGGAAGTGGCTTCAATGCCTGTTATCTTGAAAAAATGGAAAAAGTTTCTTCTTTTAAGCAAATCGGTGATACTCGGTCTGATAGAGTTTTAATAAATCTCGAATGTGGAGGATTTGGAGATAACGGTAGCATTGATTTTGCTAAAACGCCTATTGACAAGCAAGTGGATCAAGATTCACTATTTGCTGGATCTTTTACGTAAGTTTTGATACTCAAGTAAATCCAAATATTAACATGATGTTTTAAATCTTTACAGATATGAGAAACTTTTTTCTGGAGTATTTATTGGTGATATTGCTCGTAGAGTGTTTTTGCAATTGGCTAGACAAGGACTTTTATTCAATGGTGTTATATCCCAACAGTTGGAAAACAGCGAGTCATTCACAGCTAAACATATCTCGCTTATTGAAGGGCAAGTTCAGAATTTTCATTCATTCATAACTAATCTATCAGCTGAATCAGCTATTTACAATCCAAGTTTAACCGTAATACGTAAATTAGCATCATGGTCTGGTCATACTCAAAGTCTGATGTCAAAGTTTACCTACACCTTTCAATCAATATTCATATTTTTTAATTTTGATTACAGAGAAAATAGTGATGCCAAAACAAGGGAAATCATCTCTAAGAATCTTGGCTACTCAGAGTTTTCGGATGATGATGTCGCCATTGTTAAACATGTTTGTGCCGTTTTATCTGTGAGAGCCGCTCTGTTTGTAGCAATTCGTAAGTAATTAAGTAACCTCGAAAAGGTTTACACTGACACTTGAACAGTAAAAAGCACGACTGCTGTTAACCAGTAGTCCAGGTGAATCTTAGATCTTAGTTTCTACATCTGAAGTTGACAGTGATTCAGATCATTTTTCTAACCATTACTGAAAAAATCGGTATTTTTACTGTTAATCTTTAAACAAGTCAATATTACATTTAATATAATATCTAAAATTATTTTTCTGTTCCAGTTATTTCAACTTTAATAGAGAGGATTGATCGTCCAGTAACCAAAGTTGCTATTGATGGATCTTTATACAAACATCACCCTAAGATTAAGAGATTATTGACTGATTTCATTGGCCAATTAGCTCCTGGTCGACAATTTGACCATTATCTGGCGGAAGATGGAAGCGGTAAAGGAGCTGGTCTTGTTGTTGCTGCATTATATCGAGAAAGGTTACTTCGAGGATCACTTTGATCTCTCAGCTTGGAATCGAAAGATTTTACCAAGTCATGTTGATTGTTACTGACTTACCCTTACTTATTTCAATTTTACATCTATTTTCCGATTTGAATCATAATTGCAGTTTTTACTCATAAATTGTATTTTGTTAAACCAGTTATCATCAATTATGTAATGGTTTATAAATTATCTACATTTGCTCAACGTTTACATATATTTTTATTGCATGTAATCTATGGAAATAATGTTCAAAATTATCCCTTGATTTTACCATTCAAGCCATCTGTTAAAAAGCCAATTTTTTCACTCTTAATACTTCAATTGTGAATCCAAACCATTTCCCATTCAATAAAATACGGAAAGTTGAAATTTAATATTATAGTAAATTCAGTTAAAAGTTGGAATGGATTGAAAGCCTATTCTAGACAGTTCCATGAATTAAATTAAATTTATCAAATATAAGCAACCCACACACGCGATTAACTTTAAATTGTTTAATCGAAATTTCCTAAAATACCAAAAATACGAAAAAATCAGACATTCATTGAAAGTTGCGTCGTGTTTAGCAAAATCCATAAGTTGATTCAAGATGTCTATGAACTTATGTGACTTTTTTAAAACGAAATTCTTTAATTTTTCTAATTTCAAATACACATTATTGTCTAACTTTATAGCAATAAAATTTATGCTGTTAATAACATGATTACAATGAGTGTTAAACTTCCTTGTTAACTAACTATGAGACTCGATAGACAGAAAATGAGCAACAATTGATTTATATCCTGAGTCAGTTACACTTCCAGCCATTGCATGAATATCCATAGTTTCCTCTTTAAATATTTGCAATCTACTTTCAATATAATCAAAATTAAGAAATTACAATTATCTTAAAGCTGGAAGTATCTATTTATATTTTCCTTGATTAATTACAACCATGAATGGATTAAAGTCAATCCAAATCAATCCACCTTGCCCTATGAAACCAGTGATTAATCAACCAGTTGAATCATCTGCTCAATTAATTGTATCAGCAAAGAATCTTTGTGTCCACCGAAAATCAATTTCAACAGGAGACATTATTATCCTAAACAATATCAATTTATCAATAGGTGAATCAAGTTTCTTCAGTTTAATTGGACCTTCAGGCTGTGGAAAAACGACCTTTCTTCGATGTGTCGCCGGTCTAACCAGACCAACTTCAGGACATCTAACAGTTCTTGGAGCAACAGTTGAGTCCTTTGATCATCGACTACTCGGTTACATGCCACAAGATATTAACCTCTTTAACAATCTGACAATTGCCGAGACAATCTTTTACTTTGGTGCTCTTCAATCGATGCCATTTCACCAAATCCGAACATCACTCAATCAATTGTCTAATTATTTCGACTTACCCGATGAATCCTGTTTGATTAGTGATTTAAGTGGAGGTGAAGCAAGACGAGTATCATTGATCTGTGCACTTATCCACAAACCCAAATTGTTACTACTGGATGAACCCTCCGCTGGATGTGATCCTTTAATTAGAGCTAAAATGGTACAACTATTGAGTCAACTTCAACTGCATTATAAATCAACAATAATAATGACAACTCATTACATTGAAGAAGCTCGGATAGCTGATTCAGTTTCATTCATGAGAAATGGTTCAATAATTGAACAAGGTTCTCCTCAATTAATCATATCAAGCTTAAAGGTTAACTCACTGGAAGAAGCTTTCATAAAGTTAATAAAACTACAAAAATCTGGTTATGAACCAGATGAACAATTAAGCCTGTGTGTAAACCAAGATACTCTTACATTGAAGCAATCTTTCCAGCAAATTTGCCAATCTTATGTAATTAATCCTGCAATTAACTACAGTCATAGATTAATATCCATAAGATTAACTGATTGTTACTCCGTTAAAAATAGATCACTCGCTAGAAGAATGGTTCAACAATATTACTCTTCTTCTCAATCAACTGTTTCATATTTAGCATCACTTATAATTTTAATTGTCCTTTTTACATACTGCTTTGGACGGACACCTGATGTGATCAACTTAGGCCTGGTTACCAAAGATAAATCACTTTCACCAGATTCTCTAATCAAAATTTACAACAATACTTATCCACTGACAATCACTGCTTACAACTCAACTTCAAGGGCTGAAAGAGCAATTCGAGATTCACAAATTCATGGTTACCTATTAATTCCAGAAAATTTATTCTCAACCTCTAGATTCCGTTATCCTGGAGCCGATCTTGATCATCATATACCAAATGTAACTGTAATGAATTCAAACCGAATTACCTACATAGCGAGTGGAGTTAATCCAGTCATCAATATACTAACAGAGACATTGTTGAACCAGTTAACTCGCAATTTAACTACATACTTATTGGAACGACACAAACTGAATCCAGCTTTAAATGATCAAATGATTGTTCGAGGAAAGCCTATTGTTGATTTGTCCAGGCCAAATGATTATTTTAATCAAGCAAACCATCATCTTCCCAGGTCAATATTTTTCTGTTCCTTCATTGTTACATCAATGTACGCTTTGCCCATCTTATACTCAGAAAGAAGATCATCTTTGCTCGAAAGGACCTTAACAACTGGATTACATCCATTCCAACTGTTGATTGCTGCACTCATTGTTACATCTATTCTTCCCTTATTGTCAAATTTAATTATCCTTACTCTACCAACGATTATATCTCCAACCGTTCACCTAAGATCATTTTGGGTAGCTTGGTTGTTGTTATCGTTAAGTCAGTTTGGTTCGATCGCAACTGGCTTTTTCCTTGCTACACTAAACTTTGACATCTCTTTTATTTATGCATTACTTACAGGTTTTGTTTTTGTCAGTGAAACTCTTTCAGGTTTCCTGTGGCCCATCTCGGCCTTGCCTTATTATATTCGTCCTTTAATTTACTTAAATCCATACTCTTTACCTACAGAAGCTTACATTCAAACAGTTGTTCGAGGTCTACCAATCTCGTCCTGTGTTTGCCATATTTTAGGATCAATTACTTTCAACTCTGTTACATTTTTTATTACATGGATACGATTTGTTAATAAAGTCGAATGATTCATTTAAGTTTAATATGAACCTTCAAAATATACAAAACTAAAAGACATCGTTTTATTTTAAATCCTTACTATAAATGCAAGTAAGATCACTCGAAACTCCAGTTAAAATTGGCTTATGTGTCCTTAAATTGGCAGCTCTTACAAAAACAAGTCACCGAGAGATCAAACACTTTTGGTCTTGTCCTTGTCCTTTGGTCAGATAACTTTCGCTTGAACCATAACTCTTTTTATTGTTTTTCTAAGATCAAAATGCCGATTCTCCAAATGTTAGCAGAAAAGACTGTGCTCCTAAAACCCACAAGTCCAAACTCTTAGCTCGAAAGAAAATTCCCTACTCATTAAAATAGTACCAAAAGATTTTTCAAACTAAAATAGCATCAATCTGTTAGTATTTTACAAACATTGATTGGGGGATTTACCTTCGATGATTACCGCAACAACTTCACTTAAAGAACCCAGATCAATTAAACAGAAGCAATTAAGTACATTTGAATATCAAATCCCGAATCCGCTTGAAGTGTATTGACAGCCGTACTCGAGACTAAGTTTAGCAATATAAACTGATGTAATAAAACTTAGCATTATCCTTGAAACCTGTAACATTTTCAGTCCAACTGACCTGAACAATTGATTGACATACTCATTCGATTGCAAAAAAAAACATTTTAAAAGTTTTTACATTTCAGTGCCGCATACATTGTCTCGTATTACTGTTGAGTTAACAGATCTGCAAAAACAATCCGTATTAGAACTGACCTATGTTTAAAGTTTACATGCTTAATAGTGGAAGATGCCATCATATCGTTTTATGGTTACGGCAATTGATGCTTAAGTCAATTAAATGAGTTTCATTAAAAAATCATAATTGAACAAAAGGCGATCGAAGTTTCAACTTTGACCTCGATTTTCTAGAAAACTGTCTCTCGCACGAATTATTTAATAGTACCAATGGACTCAGTTTTTATGTCCCCACTAATTCATCAAGTCTCAACTGTTAAATCAAATTTTGGAGTCTTTGACAGCACTCTTTGCATTTCATCTGCAAGTTTAACCAGAAAATTGATTTATTTACCAAGAAATGGGTTGTGATCAAGTTTGTTTTGTTGAATAAGTTGTTACTCGTACATTACCAACCCAAAAATCATGACCCGAATGCGCTTATGGAGTGTTATTAGATTGAATCGAATTATTAATTAGCAAAGATTCGAAATGCATCTAATCTTATCTACCAAATTAGTTGGTCAACAGAATCAAAAAAATTGTTTAAACTAAAATATTAATTACGGGAATTTACCTTAGTTTCCTTCACGCCTACACCAAATCATCAATCAATTAAGTGCATTTGTATATCTAATCACGAATCAGTTTGAAGTGTATCGATAGCCTAATACTCGAATCCATTGTTATTAATGTGGACTGATGAAATAAAACTTAGCAACCTTTATCCTTGAAACCAGTAACATTGTAAGTCCAAATGATCTGAACAATTAATTGACATGCTCAATTGCTGGCACAGAAACACTTTAAAAGCGATTCATTGTTCAGTAAAACTCACAGTGTTTCGTTTTGCTATTGTGTCAATAGATCTGCAAAATCAAACCGTATAAAAACTGACCTGTGGTTTGAACCAATATACAAAATAGTGAATATGCCTTCATATCGATTTATGGTTACGGCAATTGATGCGTAAGTATCTTCAATTAACCAATCAATAATTTTTGTTCATCAAGTGAATCAGTCTTTTTATAAAACTTTGGCGAAAATGCAACAAATATTGTTCGAAAAGGTTTCATACATTTGATGACAGTGATTATGTGTTGATATCTGATGTAATAGATTTTGATCCATTTATTTCGTCTATTCTTTAGCATTGGACACATTAATGCTGTTTTAGGATTTTCGGAAGCTTTGCAAGCAGCTGGACATGAAATTTGTTTTGTTCATCGGGAGAAACATCGACATTTAGCTGTTAAAAGAGGATTCCAGTTCATTCCGTTCGATGAAACAGTATGGAAGGCAAATTTAGATGAAATCATGCTCAAGTGGCTTGACTCACTTTCAAGTAGATTCAAACAAGATCCATTGCAACGGTTCCTCGAAATATCTCCAACTGAACATGAAGGTTACAAAGCTCAAGGTTCATTTTTCGTTATCATGAATGAAGCTATTGATAGAATTCTTTCTGATAAGAACAATAAATTCGACGCTCTTCTTGTTGATTTGGCAGCTCCGTTCCCAGCTCTTCACAAACATCCAGTTCTTTGGTTCCCTCTCATGTCATCAGCTCCATTGGCTTTGTATCCATCAGGACCTCCTTACACTTCTGGTTACTCTGTTTACAGCGATAAATCTAAATGGGAAGAGTACAGGAAAGCTTTAAGAGAGGCTCATTCGGAGATCATCAAAATTATTCAGGGCAATCTTGATGCTTATGGTCTCAGCCATATTAGATTCGACCCTACATATTGGCACGACGAGCCTCAAACAGTTGGTTTCTATCATTATCCAGCTGCTTTAGACTACACTGAGTGTGGACCAAGAAGTAAAAATTGGTATGGAATTGATTGTTTGGTTCGTCAACCAGATTTTGATACCGATTTTGTTATACCAGAAAACCTGAAAAATAAACCTGGAAAACTAATTTACTTCTCATTAGGATCATTAGGATCTGCTGATGCTTCTTTGATGCAAAAGTTTATTGATATTTTATCTAAATCGCCTCATAAATTCATAATATCTAAAGGCGTTCGAGGTGATCAACTTAAATTAGGTGACAACATGTGGGGTGAAAATTATGTTGATCAAATCAAAGTGGTTCAAAACGTGGATTTGGTTATAACTCACGGAGGAAATAATACTTTCATAGAAACACTTTACTACGGAAAACCCATGATTGTGATTCCCTATTTTTACGATCAATTTGACAATGCACAACGAGTTGTTGACAAGAAGATTGGTTTTCGTGTCAATCTTTATGATTTGGATGAAGATTATCTTCTTAATTGTATTGAGAATGTATTCAATGACAATGAGATACAAAACCGTGTTAAAGCAATCTCACAAAATATGAGAAACTCAAAGAGTTTATCTAACGCTATCAAAATGATGGAAAAACGAATTGAACAAAAAAACAATTCCTCTTGAAATACGTTTAAGTTTTCACGAGATTTATGTCTATAGTTAAAACTAGATAAAAAATAAGTACGAAAACAGATGTAAATCTAATAACAAATTTAATAAAATTTTAATACAAATTGTTTGATTTTAATTCAATTTGATTGTAACACAAATCAACAGCACGCTCGTGCCCAGCTGAACTTTAATGTTGATATCTTACACTTTGTAATCAGTCCATGCTCATCATTCTTATAATATCCTGAAGATGATGACAATCCAGTGTTGATTACTTGTTTTGTTATTTTTTGAACGTCTTCTTTTGTGTTAATATCCGATGTATTATTGGATGGTTTCGGGATAATTGTTATCTTTTCAATAGGCAGTGAGTCGTTCAATAAATTTGAGTGTAAATTGTGATTTCTGCCTGTCAATGAATACATTGGACCCGATCTTGTATCAGTTGATGGACTTGAGATAACATCGGCCTTACCTTATTATATCCGTCCTTTAATTTACTTAAATCCATACTCTTTACTTACAGAAGCTTACATTCAAACAGTTGTTCGAGGTCTGCCAATCTCGTCTTGTATTTCCCATATTTTAGGATCAATCACTTTTAACTCTGTTACATTTTTTATTGCGTGGATACGATTCGTTAATAAAGTCGAATGATTCATTAATTTCTTTAAGTTTATACGAAACTTCATTTCAAAATATACGAAACTAAAAGACACAATTGTATTGACACAGAGAACCCCTTATTAATAAGAAATAAGGTATAAACCGAAACTCGATTGTTACTAAAAAGACACATATTATATTGAAATATTAAATTATTCAAGATCTTGAAAAAGTAATAGTTATCATTCAATACATTATTTGATTATTCCTATTTCATTTCACTTGATAATAAAATCTAGCCTTTGCATACATTATTAATATTAACGTATATTAAAAGATTAACTAATTACTGTTACTAGATATTTTTACATACATTATTATAATAACTTATATTGAAAGACATACATTGTGAGGATTAATTATGTTACAAATTGTTCATTCATTGTTTATTTAATTAATAATTGAACATTATATTACAAACTGCAATATAAATTGCGGGAATTTACCTTAGTTTCCTTCACGCCTACACCAAGCAATTAAGGGCATTTGAACATCTAATCACGAATCAGCTTGATTTGTATCGATAGTCTAATACTCGAATCTATGTTTAGCAATGTAAGCTGATGAAATAAAACTTAGCAACCTCTATCTTTGAAACCAATAACATTGTAAGTTTAACTGACCTGAACAATTAATTGACATGCTCAATTGTTTGCACAGAAACACTTTAAAAGCGATTCATTGTTTCAGTAACACTAACAGTGTTTCGTTTTGCTATTGTGTCAACAGATCTGCAAACCGTATTCAAACTGTGAGCTGTGGTTTGAACCAGTATACAAAATAGTTTAAAATGCCATCATATCGTTTTATGGTTACGGCAATTGATGCGTAAGTTTCTTCAATTAACAATCCATTTTTTACTCATAAAGCAAACTAAGTATTTTGTAAAGTTTTTAGATATTCAAGAATAAATGTCAGCTAAATTTTCATCCATTTGATGAAAAAGACGATGTGTTGATATCTGGTGCAGGTTTTAATTGATTCATTTTATTTCTTTCTTTAGCATTGGACATATTAATGCTGTATTAGGATTTTCGGAAGCTTTGCAAGCAGCTAGACATGAAATTTGTTTTGTTCATCGGGAGAAACATCGACATTTAGCTGTTAAAAGAGGATTCCAATTCATTCCGTTCGATGAAACAGTATGGAAGGCAAATTTAGATGAAATCATGCTCAAGTGGCTTGACTCACTTTCAAGTAGATTCAAACAAGATCCATTGCAACGGTTCCTCGAAATATCTCCAACTGAACATGAAGGTTACGGAGCTCAAGGATTATTTTTCGTTATCATGAATGAAGCTATTGATAGAGTTCTTTCTGATGAGAACAATAAATTCGACGCTCTTCTTGTTGATTTGTCGGCTCCATTCCCTGCTCTTCACAAACATCCAGTTCTCTGGTTCCCACTCGTATCATCAGGTCCATTGGCATTGTATCCATCAGGACCTCCTTACAGCTCTGGTTACTCTGTTCACAGTGATAAATCTAAATGGGTAGAGTACAGGAAAGCTTTAAGAGAGGCTCATTCGGAGCTCAGTAAAAACATCCAGGGCAATCTTGATACTCATGGTCTTAGCTACATTAGATTTGACCCGGCATTTTGGCACGACGCACCTCAAACAATTGGTTTTTATCATTATCCATCTGATTTGGACTACACTGAATGTGAACCAAGAATAAAAAATTGGTATGGAATTGATTGTTTAATTCGTAAACCAGATTTTGATACCGATTTCGTTATCCCAGAAAACCTGAAAAATAAACCTGGAAAACTAATTTACTTCTCATTGGGAACATTAGGATCTGCTGATGCATCTTTACTTCAAAAGTTTATTGATATTTTATCTAAATCTCCACATAAATTCATAATCTCTAAAGGTGTTCGAGGTGATCAACTTAAATTAGGTGACAACATGTGGGGTGAAAATTATGTTAATCAAATCAAAGTGGTTCAAAACGTGGATTTGGTGATAACTCACGGAGGAAATAATACTTTCATCGAAACACTTTATTACGGAAAACCAATGATTGTGATTCCCTATTCTTACGATCAATTTGACAATGCACAACGAGTTGTTGACAAGAAGATTGGTTTTCGTGTCAATCTTTACGATTTGGATGAAAATTATCTTCTTAATTGTATCGAGAATGTATTCAATGACAATGAGATACAAAACCGGGTTAAAGCAATCTCACAAAATATGAGAAACTCAAAGAGTTTAACCAACGCTATCAAAATGATTGAAAAACAAATTGAACAAAAAGGCAATTCATCTTGAAAGGCGTTTCTAAATTTACTAAATCGATGTTTACGGTTAAAATTAGATAACAAATAAGTAAAAAATCAACAAATTTAATCAAATTTTAATAAAAGTTATATGTTTGATTTCATTTTAATGTATCAAAAAATCAGTAAAATTGTGTTCGAGGCTAGTTATACTTTAATGATGAAAGCGCATACTCTGTCGTCAGGCCATACTAATTACATACGTATTATAATTAGAATTCATTCATCTCAATTAAACTTGCCAGTTTAACCAGAAAATTGGTTTATTTACCAAGAAATGGGTTGCGGTGAGTTTGGTTTGTTGAATAATTGTTGCTCGTACATTTACAACCCAAAAATCATGACCCAAATGCACTTATGGAGTGTTATTAGATTGAATCGAATTATTAATTGGCAAAGAATTGAATTAGTAAAAGAATGATGACTTTAGGTGCTATCATTCTCGAAATATTGAGACTCAAAGTTTTAAGGCCAAAATCGAGAGAATCGTTATTAAATTGTTAAAAATATTCAATACATAAATTGAAGCAACATTTTTTATGGACATTTAATAAGATTCAGCTCGCTAACTATTACGGTTCTAGAAATCGATCGGTTTAACTGAAAATAGAACTTATCTATTTTACAGAAAAAGAAAAATTTCATTTCTCAAAATAAGTGCATTTTCTGGTTGGCCATTTAAATTTACATCAGGGAATTGAGTTTCATGTAAAGTCTGCTTCCATAAATGAACTAACCCCGATCGAAGTTTCAAATTCGAACTCGATTTTCTCGAAAACTGGATCATAGAAACTTTTAAATCGCACAAATGGATTCAGTTTACCTGTGCCTGGAAACTAACCGAGTATAAACTTGAAAGAAATTAATTTTTACCCGTTTTCGTCCATTTCTCTTTCAGTATTTTTGTCAATTTTTGCATAATGGTGAAAATTATTTCTTTTTTTTAAAACCTCAACAATACGATACAAAATGAGAGAAAATTGATTTATATCCTGAGTCAGTACCGCTTCCAGCCATTGCATTAATATCCATCATTTCAACAAGAGTCACTGTTATCCTCAATAATAACCAGACCAACTTCAGGACATCTAACAGTTCTTGGAGCAACAATCGAGTCCTTTGAACATCGACTACTCGGTTATATACCACAAGATATTAACCAAATTGTTACTACTGGATGAACCCTCCGCTGGATGTGATCCTTTAATTAGAGCTAAAATGGTACAAATATTGAGTCAACTACGATTACATTATAAACCAACAATTATAATTACTACATTGAGGCTTTGAAGTCCACCTAAGATCATTTTGGGTAGCTTGGTTGTTGTCATCGTTAAGTCAATTTGGTTCGATTGCGACTGGCTTTTTCTTTGCTGCACTCAACTTTGACATCTCTTTTATTATTCACTACTTACAGGCTTTCACCTGGGCTTCCCTTATTATATCCTTATTATTTATGCATTACTTACAGGCTTTGTTTTTGTCAGTGAAACTCTTTCAGGTTTCCTGTGGCCCACCTCGCCCTTACCTTATTATCTCCGTCCTCTAATTTACTTAAATCCATACTCTTTAGTGTTTGCCATATTTTATGCATGTAAGTAAGGTATCACTCAAAACTTCAAAACTAAAATTGGCTTATGATTTTCCCTCAAATTGACAGCTCTTTCAAAAGCAATTCAACAAGAAATCAAACATTTTCGGTGGAACTAGGATCCATCTGAGCTAATCTATTGAATTCGAATAAATTAATCTATTAAGTTTGTAGAGCTCTGCAAGTGATTTTAGTGTCAAAAGGCTGTTGCAGCCCAAATAAATTTGATCTGATATGTTTCAAACATTAAATGTACAAATGTAAAAATTACCTTTTGATCTTTTTTATCTTGATCTTGATTTAATGTAACCGATTATCGGAATAAAAACAATTGCATTAAACTATCTAATCACAGTCTATCCAATGCTCGAATTGATGCTCACCAGAGTAAACTGATGAGATAATGTAAATTTATATTATCCTTGAAACGAATGTTACATCTTCAGTCCAACTGATCTGATATACTCA